GGAGTCAATGTTGAGGACTCCTCGCGCAACACCTTCCTGGCTGTATACCACTGTGCCGCCACTTCTGCTGGGTCTGTCCTGCCAATGAGACAGGTCATACCCAGGGATGGTGATGGTGGTGTCTGGGACATTGTTTGTAAGGTATGATTCTGTGAGTATGACTGTGTCAGGCTGTTGCTTGACTACTCTGTGAGACAGCTCTCCCAATTTTGGCACTAACCCCCAGATGTTAGTGAGGAGGACTTTGCATGGTCAACAGGGCTGTTGCTGCTGTTGTCTTTTCCGATGCCTAGGTCGATGCCAGGTGATCCGTCCAGTTTCATTTCTTTGAGTCTTTGTAGCGATTGGTACAACTCAGTGGCTTGCTAGGCCATTTCAGAGGGCAGTTGAGAGTAAACCACATTGCTGTGGGTCTTGAGTCACATATAGGCCAGACCAGGTGAGGATGGCAGATTTCCTCCCCTGAAGGACATTCATGAACCTGATGGGTTTTTCTGACAATTGGCAATGATTTCATGGTGATCAATAGATTCTTAATTCTGCACTGTTTTTTTGAATTCCAATTCCATCATCTGCCATGGTGGGATTCGAACCCGGGTCCCCAGAACATCAGCTGGGCTTCTGGATTAATAGTCTAGCGATAATACCACTAGGCCATTGTCTACCCCTACATATAGAATTGGCCCACTTATACAAACCCATACAGATCAAAACCGGAAATGACAGTACTCACCATAACGGACCAGACAGTATAAATTCCAAGCGGAGTAGAATAACATCGCTTCATCGGAGGCTCCACTGATATTATCACCTAGCATGGTGATGAAACGTCTGAGCAAAAACAAGCCAGCTTGGTGAGCAAGTCAACAACCTCACTTGATAACCAAATCTTACAAGCTTTATTATGATGATTGGAAGCTGTTGAATAGCCCATAAAACTCCCCAAATGGACTCCCTGATTCTTCAAACCAGCACCGTAAACGGAAGTATTTATAAAATAATTAGGCCGTTGAATTGCTGTTAAGAGACAATAACAATAACTCTGCTGAAGGAAGTAGTTACTTCAAAATTGACAGCTCAACATATATTGACAAGATGGAATACATAGAAGTAATGGTAAAAACCTTTAAAAAATTGAAAAAATGAATGAATGAATCAGCTTTATTGTCATGTGCACTCAAATGAAAAGTTTGCAATGTTGCCGCTTCTGGTGCCGTCTTAGGTACAAGATACCTAGGTGCAGATACTTAAGTATTTGGTACAAAATTGAAAAAAAAATAAATAAAAGTCCAGCATTAAGCATTGTTATCATATTATACTATAATTTTAATACTGTAAAAATATACTCTTTCATTTTATCCATTCCATGAACTTTTTCAATTCATCAGAAGACTTTTTCACATGTTAAGATGTTGAGCTTTTACTTACTTTTGCAAATTGGCAAACTGTCAGCGATCTGAGAAACATAGGGCTTAATGGTAGTTAGGTATATCTTCCAATTATAGCAGTGTCATGTCTTACCTTAATGAACACAGATACACTCATGTTAAAACATACTGTGATGATTTGAAAAGAAGGAAAACTATTTCACTATCTCTTTTGAGAATGGGTGGACGTGGGAGATAGGCTGTCCAGGCATGTCACTCAACATGCATTTTTCTGCAGTCCCAGCTGTGTTTGTTCCCAATGGAAACCATGCAAATCTGGCTCAAGGCAATGAAAGGATTGTAATCCTAAATTATAAATGACTCTAAACTGAAAGCACTGGAGACATTTTCAGTCAACAAGGAGAGAAATGATTGGTGACGGCTACTTGTAAAAGCTTGGGTGTGGGCAGCAGAGATTTGGATGATCTGAAATCGATAGTGCAACATGGGAGGCCAGTCAAAAAAGCAGTGAAACATTTTAGTTTGGAGGTGACTAGCAAGGAGACAACTGAAAAGTCACCTTCTAGAAATATATAATTTAAAGGCTAAATCCAGAATAATTCTGTAAATTAGGCTGTGGAGTAGTCAGAATGCACATTTATACCTTTTGCATATGTGCCTCAAATATTTCTCAATAGCACTGTTGGTCAACTTACGGTTCCAGTAGGCCAGGCGGCATCAGAGGAGCAGGCAAGCTGACGTTTCAGGTCGGGACCTTTCTTCAGAAATTTTCTGGAGAAGGGTGCCAACCCAAAACGTCAGCTTTCCTGCTCCTCTGATGCTGCCTGGCCTGCTGTGTTCCTCCAGCTCCACATTGTGTTATCTCAAACTCCAGCATTGGCAGTCCTTACTGTCTCTTAGGGTTCTAGTCAGTGTCCTACATCTTTGGAGTTAAAAATCCAATGTTTAGCAGTTTTTCAAAGTTTTTGACTGAAAGAAACAGTTAAGTTAATTTACACTTTCATTCTGAAGGAGTCCTTAGAAATGTATTTCTAAATTTGCAATATGAACACTTTTAAAATTGCACTTTACTTTGACTAATTTTTTTTAACAATGTATTCTAATCATTTTTGGCTGGAGTAATTAGATTAGTTTTCAAGATTTATACACCTTATTTGCATAATTTTTCTCAGCATTGTCATGTTGAATGAAATCTGACAGGAAGCAATCAGCACAAATCCTATGCTATGTGATGTGAGTTTTATTAAGATAATGTGATAAGAAGATGAATAAAATGATTTCTAAATTAGGAAAGCTGGACACCTATTGTAAAGAGGTGCATTGCAGTGCTTGGTACAGCATACTGCAATGTCCTAAATGTCTGTGGAGCACAAGTATTTCTCCAGTCATTCAACCAATGTTCACAGGGTCAGGGAGAAGGTGACGCAATGCCACGTTCATCTGAACTGTCCTGTCTCCCAGAAAGGCAAAAAATGGAAACAAAGGATCACATTTTCAGGGAGGAGGCAGGAAGGTCGAATGGTGAAACCTTTCTATGTCACACCCATCTCCCTGCTGAAGCAGCGATCCCACCTGCTGTATTCACATTCCAAGAGGAGGGAGTGGATTGGAATTGTGGCAAGGAAGACAGACAGATAGTGAAGTCAGAGATAGTAGGAACTGCCGATGCTGGAGAATCTGAGATAACAAGGTGTACAGCTCGATGAACACAACAGGCCAAGCAGCATCAGAGGAGCAGGAAAGCTGACGTTTCAGGCCTAGACCCTTCTTCAGCATTTCTGAAGAAGGGTCTAGGCCCAAAACGTCAGCCCTCCTGCTCCTCTGATACTGCTTGGCCTGCTGTGTTCATCCAGCTCTGCACCTTGTTATCTCAGATAGTGAAGTCAGTTGGCTTGACTAGCTGTTTCTGCTTACTGGGATATCAGCCCAGTTGTAGTATTAAATGTCAGGCCTCGAACACTCACCCCTTATCTCCCTGACCTCCCCATGCCCGAGACATATTCCTGTATTCAAAAATATCTTTACATTTCCTTAAATGGTCAATCAATTGTAAAAACAAACAAACATTATTCATTTAGCATTGAATTTAGCTAAGTGCCATTTCTATCGCTTTTCACAGAGGGTTTCTCTTCACAATGCCGAGTGTTTTCTTTCACATATTTGTCTCAAATGCACCTCTTTGACGACCCAGTAGAGCCCCTCCCATCCATGCTAGCCTGATTTTCCCAGTTGCCATACCCAGAAGTACTTGTCATTATTCGCATATGATGCAATAATTTGTTATTTGTCCCCCTTGTCATTTCTTTTACAGTAGTTTACAATGGTTTATGTTTTCTTTCAGTATCTAATGAAAGAATCTACAACTATCATTTGAGCACCAGTTTTTGTGAAGCATTTTTGTATTTTACAATGAAAACATATTAAGGTAATCTATGTATTATATATGCTAATAAAAACATTAGAAATTCAGAAAAAAATTACTCCAGCACATGTGTGAAAATGGATTTCTTTCTGGAAAATGGCATGTTAATTTAAAATTGAAGTTACGATTATTCTTAAAATTAGCTGTCCAAATCCTTGCCATGTCAATGCATAACAATAAGCTTCGTATGATGTTAAGCAATACACAGCGGCATGGTCCTACACTTCACCACTTTTTACGCTTCCAATTGAGATAGGGAATAGAGACAGTGAAGAGTTGTAGCCGCTCTCATTTTCCTCGCTGAAAGGAAAATATCATCTAAAGTTCCCACTTGTAATTGCCATTAATCGGAAGTTAGTGGAAGCGCTGTAAACACCAGCTGGTGGTAGGATAATTCATGAAAACACACTCTAGCATGGGTTGCTGGGGAAGGGAAAGAAACTATATGTTGCCAAGAATTTCCAGATGATTAGCACATTTGATTGTTGTTGTTGTATTCTAGGAGCTGGAAGCAGAGAGAGTGCAATTGATGGAAGAAGTTACATCGAACAAACGGAGAATGCAGGAGTTGGAAGATAACTTGTTATTTCGTCTAACCAGTACAGAAGGTTCTCTGGTGGAGGATGAATCATTGATTGAAGTACTTCAGGTCACTAAGATAACAGCTGAAGAGGTAAAATGACTGCCAAAAATGCTATTCATCCATACAGCTTTTTTTCAAATCTACTTATCCATTGTTATTTTACTGCAAGTCATATTTTTAAGTGGTAAAGGCTAATGGTAATTCAGAGGATTGGGAAGGTTTTAAAAGCCACAAAAGATGACCAAACAGGGAGAAAATAAGCGAAGAGGGCAAACTAACAGGTAACATAAATTGGATTGTTAGCTTCTTTATATGTGCAAAAATAGTGAACATAGGTCTCCAGAGAATGAGGCTGGAGTACCATTAATGTGGAGGCAGGAAATAGCAGAGGGGTTGAAAAAGTATTTTGCATTGATCTTCACAATTGAGGTCACTAAATAGAATTCCAAAAATACTGAATGATACAGGGGCTAAAAGGGGAAGAAATAAACACAATTAGAGAAAAAGTACTAGCAAAACTAAAGCAGCTAAAGGCCATTGGGTCCCCTGGACGTGATAGGTTTTATTTCTAGGATTTTAAAGGAAATGCTAGATGTATTGATATCAATATTCCAAGAATCCATAGATTCCAATCAAGTCCCAAATAATTTGAAAACTGCCAGTATAGCACCTTATACAGAAAGTGAGGGAGACCAACAAAAGAACAGGTAACTAACTGCAGGCCAATTAACTTAATACCTGTCATTTGGAAAATGTTAGTCTTTTCATTCTTCTGATCAAAATGGATAACCTCACATTTATCCAGGTTAAACTCCATCTGCCAAATTTAGTCCCATTTATCTATCCACTTGTAAATTTCTTATTTCTTTGTTGTAACATACTTTCCCACCTATTTTAGTGTCATCCACAAATCTGACTGTAGTGCATTCTATTCCTGCATCCAGGTCACGAATATAGATTGTAAATAGTTGGGGCCCAAATATTGAACCCTGTGGCACCCCATTAGTTACTCTTGTCAACCAGAAAAAGATCCATTTTTCCTGACTCTGCCTTCTGTTGGTTAGTCAATCCTTTATCCAAACTAATCTATTAGCTCTAACTCTGTGTGATCTTACCTTGTTATTAATCTTTTGTGTGGCATCTTATCAAATGCCTTCTGGAAGTCTACTACATCTACAGGATCCCCATTATCTACTTTGTTTTTTACATCTTTAAAGAACTTCAGCAATTATTTTGTACACGTTCATGGGATGAGGGTTTTGCTGGCCAGGCCAGTATTTATTGCCCATGTCTAATTGGCCAGAGGCCAGTTAAGAGTCAGTTACATTGCTGTGGGTCTGGAGTCACATGTAGGCCAGACTGGGTAAAGGCGGCAGTTTCCTTCCCTAAAAGGCATTAGTGAACTAGATGGGTTTTTCCGACCATTGACAAAGGTTTCATGGTTGTTGAGTTAGATTCTCAATTCCAGATTTTTGTTGAATTCACAATCCAACATCTGCCATGGCAGGATTCAAACCCAGGTCCCCAGAACATTATCTGGGTCTCTGGATTAACAGTCCAGTGATAATACCTCTAGGCCGTCGCCTCCCTAATCAAACACAATTTACCATTCGTAAAAGCATGCTGACTCTGATGGATTGTGATTTGACTTTCCAAATGTCCTATTCCTACTTCCTTAATTGATTCCAACAATTTCCCAATGACGGATTAAGCAGTCTGTATTGTCCTACTTTCTGTTTCCCTCCTGTTTTTTGAATAAGGGCATTATATTAACATGGAATCTTATTCGCGCATTTTGAAAAACTGATTTGTATAAAGGTGTGATTGGGACATTGAATTTTATTGCAAAACCTTCCCTTGCTCATGTGGGTTTTCTCTGGGTGCTCCAGTTTCCCCTCTCATTCCAGAGATGTGCAGTTAAGGTGAATTGGCTATGCTAAAATGCCCATATTATCCAAGGATTAGTAAATTAGTTGGATTAGCTGAGGGAAATGTCAGGTTAAAGAGATAGGGTAGGGAGGTGAGTTTGGGTGGGATGCTCTTCAGACAGTCAGTGTGGACTTGTTGGGCCGAATGGCCTGTTTCCACACTGTAGGGATTCTATGATCTATTAAAAGGATGTAATAGCAGAGCATTTAGGAATACATAATATAATCAGGCAGAGCCAGCATGGCTTCATGAAGGGGGATCTTATGTCTGATAAACTTATTAAAGTTATTTGAGGACATAACAAGCAGAATAGATAAAGGGGAGCCAGTGGAAGTAATATATTTAGATTTCCAAAAAAAATAAGGCTACTTAATGAGGCAAGAGCTCATGGTGTTGGGAGGTTATATATTAGCATGGATAGAGGATTGGCCAATTAATAAAAGATAGAGAGTTGGGACAAAGGGGGCATTTTCAAGATGACAACCTGTAACTAATGAAATGCCACAAGGATCAATGCTGGAGCCACAAATATTTACAATACATATCAATGACCCAGATGGGGAAAGTGAATGAACTATAGCCAAATTTGCAAATGGCATAAAAACAGGTGGAAAGCTAAGGGGTGATGATGACACAAAGAGTCTACAGAGGGATATAGACTAGGTAAGCAAATGGGCAGAAACTTGACGGATGACATATAACTTGGGAAATGTGAGGTTATGCGCTTTGGCAGGAAGAATAGTGCAGCTGAATATTACTTAAATGGAAAAAGGCTACAGAAAGCTGTATCACAGAGGAATTTGGGAGTTCCGGTGCATGAATCACAAAACTAGCATCCAAGTTCAGTGGGTAACAAGGAAGGCAAATGGAAGTTAGCCTTTATTTCAAAGGCAATGGAGTATAAAAATACAGAAAACTTATTAAAAGTATGCACAGCACTACTTAGAGCACGCCTGGAATACTGTGAACTGTTTTGGGCCTCTTCTCTAGGGAAAAAAAAATTGGAATTGAAGGCAGTCCAGACATGGTTCACTAGGTTGATCCCAGGTATGGAGAGATTTTCTTATGAGGAGAGGATGAGTAGGTTAGGTTTGTACTGAATTTAGGAGAATGAAAGGAGATTTTATTCAAATATGTAACATTCTTAGAGGACTTGAAAGGCTGGTTGCAGAGACGCTGACTCCCCTTGTGGGAGGGTCTAGGGCCAGAGGGCTTAATCTCAGAATAAGGGTTCGCCCTTAGAAGACAGAAATAAGGAGGAATTTCTTCCCTCAGAGAGTAGTGAATCTGTGGAATTCTTTATCGCGGAGGGTTGTTGAGGCTGAATCATTAAGTCTAATCAAGGCAAGATTTTTATCTAAGATTTTTAATCTGTAAGGCAACCAAGGGTTATAGGGAGTATTTGATTTGGTTTGATTTATTGTCACATGTATTTAGGTACAGTGCAAAGCTTAGTTTATGAACAATGCAGGCAGATCATAGTAAGCAAGGATATAGAGATCATAGAGTTGAAAACAAAACTTAGACAGAGGCATATAGGTTGTATCGCACAGGGCATGCACTAGGCAAGATCAACATTAGCAAGATCAGCATTATTTGAAGTTAAAGAGTCCATTCATTAGTCTAATAATGGCCGGGAAGAAGCTGTTCCTGAACCTGCTGGTGTGTGTGTTCAAACATTTATATCTTTTGCCTGAAGGAAGAGGTCAGAGGAGATCATTACCGGGGTGCGATGGGTCTTTGATGTTGGTAGCCTTTCCGTGGCAACGAGCTGTATAAATGGAATCCATGGATGGGAGGTTGACTTCCAGACTGATCTCAAAACTCTGAGACCTTGGCCTCTTCAACTGAATCCTCAGCTTTCTGACCCACAGACCACAATCAACGAAGATAGACAACTACACCTCCTCCACAATAACACTCAATGCTGGAGTCCCCCAGGGAATCGTCCTCAGCCTCCTACTCTATTCCCTGTACACCCATGACTGTGTTGCCAAATTCAGAATGAACACCATCTACAGGTTTGCTGATGATACCTCCATGGCAGGACAGATATCTAACAATGATGAGTCAGAATACAGAAAGGACATAGAGGGCTTGGTGACGTGGTGCATTGAGAACAACCTCTCTCTCAACATTGGCAAAACTAAAGAACTGATCCTTGACTTCAGAAAGAAAGGAGGAGAACATGCCCCCATCTACATCAATGGACCTGAGGTTGAGAGAGTGGCGAGTGTCAAGTTCCCGGGAGAGATGATAACTAACAACCTGTCCTGGACTTCCCACATAGATGCGATGGTCAAGAAGGCACAACAATGTCCCTTCTTCCTCAGGTGGCTCAGGAAATTTGGCATTTCTCTAAGGACCCTCATCAAATTTTACAGATACACTATTGAAAGCATATTGTCCAGGTGCATAATGGACTGGCATGGCAACTGCTCTGCCCAGGGCCGTAAGAAACTGCAGAATGTTGTGTAGACAAAAAAGTGGAGTTCAAAATTGCCAGATCAGTCATGATCTCATTGAATAGTAGAGCAGATTCAATGGGCTGAATGGCCTACTTCTGCTCCTATGTCCTCTATTCTTATGGTCTATAAGTAAATTTCTGGTATATCAGATGAGCAGTGGGTTTCGCCCACTGAACGGTGTTGCTTTGTCAGTTTCTTTTAAGAACAGTCCTCATTTAAATATATGGTTCTGCTACGATATATACTTGTGTGAAGTTCTGGAACTCGCATTATTGGAGGACTATGATTGCTCTAGAGAGTGTGCAAAGGAGATTTACCAAGATGTTGCCTGGGCTGCAAAGTTTTAATTATGAAGAGAAATTGGATAGATTTGGGTTTGTTTTCCTTGGAGCACAGGAGACTGAGGAAGGATATGATTGGGATGTATAAATTACAGGGACCATAGAAAGGGTACACAGGAAGGAAGCTTTCTCCTGGTTGGAGGGATGAATGACCAGGGGCATAGATTTAACTTAAGGGGCAGAAGGTCTAGAGGAGTTGTAGGCAATAATGTTTGCACCCAGAGGTTGGTAAGAGTCTGAAACTCACTTCATATAAGGAGGAGGGGAGATAGAGGCAGAAGCCCTCATAACATTGAAGAAGTGTTTAAATGTGTGCTTGAGAAGGGAAGGTATACCAGGCTATAGGCCAAGCACTGGAAAAATAGGATAAGAATAGTTAGGTGGTTGTTTTTGATTGGCATAGACTCAATGGGCTGAAGGGCCTTTTTCAGTGCTGTAAGACTCTATAGCAAGATCATTGCTTGGGAAGGTTGGACGTAAAGCCTGAAGACATCCATAGTAGCCCATTTACAAGAGTAGTTCATTCAGCTGCTCAAACTATCCACTATTCCATTAAGTTAAAACTGTTCTGTGCCTCAACTACATTTCCCTTCCTTTCCTTTTTTCCATTTCCATTAAAACCCTTACTTATTGTAGAACAGTTAAGTTGATCGGAGAATTACTGAACAACAGACTGACAGGGCAGTATGAGGTGGCAGCCAGGAAGCTCTGAGGCAGTGAGGTGATGTTATCACCACCACTTACACATGTGCAGATGGCCAGCAGTAATCTTTGGCAGCCACCTTGGCCTTGGCAACACAAACTTTATTTTATTGTCATAAGATCACTTATGAATTTAAAAAATCTCATTTTGTTTCCAGGTGAGTGAAAAGTTGAGCACTGCTGCACAGACAGAGGTGAAGATTAACACAGCTCGTGAGGAGTATCGGCCTGTTGCTTCACGTGGCAGCAATCTTTATTTCCTCATTGTTGAAATGAGTCTAGTGAATGTGATGTATCAGACATCACTTCGACAGTTCCTGGGTATCTTTGATATATCCATGGAGAGATCAGCAAAATCACAGGTCACCTCTAAGCGAATTGCAAATATCATTGAATATCTCACCTATGAAGTGTTCAGGTATACAGCTCGGGGTCTGTATGAGAATCACAAATTCCTCTTTACACTGCTCATGGCACTAAAGATTGATCTACAGTCCAAGAAGATTTCTCATGAAGATTTCCAGACTTTGATAAAAGGTAACCTTCACTAGTAACATTATTTATAAGAGTACCTTTGATAAAATCTATATTGGAAGCTAAACTTGCTCAATTCAGAAAACAGAGATAACAAGGTGTAGAGCTGGATGAACACAGCAGGCCAAGCAGCATCAGAGGAGCACGAAAAATGACGTTTCGGTCCTAGACCCTTCTTCAGAAATGTTACCTACTATCTCCGAAACAATTCAGAAAGCAGTTGGTAAACAAATGCCAAAAGTTAATTATTTGGCGTTAGATGCAACATCAGTGATTGTAGACTTTGACTAATAGCTACTCATATTATATACAAATCATTTTCCATCATAGTTTTTCATTTATGTGACTGATTAACTTTCTGAATGCCATATTACACAGTGTAGATGTTAATACACTCATCTATTTTATATCTTGGGTTAACTTACTTGAATTTTTTCAAGGTACCAAATATAATCATGTAACTAACAAAGCAAGATATAAACTGTCAATAAAACTAAAATCTGGGAGCAACTATATCATGTGTAAAAGTAGGTACACCAACAGTGCTGTTAAGTGGGGAGTTCCAGAAAATTGAACCAGTGACAGTATATTTCCAAGTTTGGATATATGTGTTTAGATGATCGTGTCAGGCTCAAATATAATTCTGTGCTGGGTGACTAATGGAAGTTAGTGTCTTAGGTCCAGGAGACTCCTGACAGTCAGATCATCTTGACTGAAAGCATCTGACAAAAAAACATGTCCAATGCGTTCATGTAGTCCAGTTCTGCACTTACTGTCAATTTTGTTTAAAATGAATAATTGAAGTGTTATATCGCTGTTAATGGTACTAGAACATTACTGACTTTCTGCTGAATGCATTGGGGAACGATGAAGTAATGAGCCTGTGCTTTGCTGTCAGGTCGTTTTACATGTATCTGAAAATGCCTGGTCAGCTGTCTTATGCCTGTCACTGTTCTAGCAAAATAACATCCAGCAAAGGCATTGAGAACTTTTAATCAAGGGAATAACTTTACTCCCTGATCAAATATTTAAATAGTCTATTTTAAAAAGCACTTTTAAAAGATATAAATAAGCTGCTAAATGAATAGATATTAACTTTACTCACTGATCCTAAGATATGTTGAACTTTATACAGCAGTAGAGTGAAGAGCTATGAAGACATTTGCTTGACTGAAAGTTTCAGCTCAGAGATATTCAGAATGAAGATACTTTACCTTTAGATAAACCACACAAAGGAAAGCTGTTCCCATTAGCTGATGGCACAAAGACTAAGAGGCACAATTTTAAGGTTTTGGATAATTGATATGGGATTATATAAGGAAACTCTCTTTTCACATAATGTGTGGTGATACCTGGAACTTGCAGCCTTTGAGGCTCGTGAAAGTAGAGCTGATAAAAGATTTCCAATGGAAATTGGATGGGCACTCAAGGGAAATACACTTTCAGGCTACAGGAATAGAGGGTGAGGACTGAGACTGAGTGGATTGTTTTACCAAGAGCAGGCATACATTTGATGGGCTGACTGGCCTCGCTCCGTACTGATTCTTTAACTTTATGATTCTACCTTGTTTGAAAAGACAGTAAGGTTCAAGAAAAACTAATAATCTTCCAACGGAAATTGCACAAATATCATTGAATTTTCCCTGGATAATTCTATCCCTATCAGTTCTTGGGCTTTGCTGCAATTATCCAGGAACCTTATTTAGGATAGAAGTACTGTCCCTCCCAACATGGCTGGACTGAGTACAGGTCTCCTAATGATAGTTTTGTTTTGAAACTGAAAACTTTGAATTTGATGGTAATCACCCCACTATCAAAGGAAAACTCCAGAGGTGGTTAAAGGCTGAAAATCAGGGAACATGTCTTGAGCTTACTGCAGAGGTATCTGTTGCCTCTTGAATGGCATGGGAAGAAGAAGCATGTCTGAGTCTTGTTTTTGGAAAAGTGGTATGGTTTTTTTATAATATTCAAATCGAGCTCCCATGGTAAGATTCAGAGTCTGATTTACTTTTTAACATTAACAGACAGGTTTTCCAGGGCGTCAGGAGTAAGATAGACAGGAGCAACCAGCCTCAAAGCGAAGTGCTTTCTGAGCTCACCTTGTGAGTGAGGAGAAGCAAGAGTGCTGCCCTCTACCTCTCAGGAAAAAACCTTTGGCCCCATTTCTACTGATTATGGCCGCTCCTCACTGTCCTTAATGGAGACCATCAATCCATGTCTCTGTTCTGTTCAGTTCTGAGGAAGGGTCACCGGACCCGAAACGTTAACTGCGTTTTTTCCTTCACACATGCTGCCAGACCTGCTGAGCTTTTCCAGCAACTTTGTTTTTGAACCCATGTCTCTGGTCTGCTACACCATTGGTTGACCCCCTCCCCCAGCCCCAATCATTCGTTTAGCTTTAAAAGACACCTACAACCGTAAGCTTTTATGATTCACCATAACTTTTGCTGTGGCATTTATCAAATGCTTTCTGGAAATTCGAGTATAGTACATCTGTGGGTTATAGAACCACAGCACTGCAAATGTTTGAGACCTGAAATAAAAAACAGAAAGTGCTGGAGAAACTCAACAGGCCTGGCAACATCTGTGGAGTCAGAAACAGAGTTAATGTTTTGAGTCCAATATGATTCTTCTTTGGAACAAAATACAGTTAAAACTAAAACCATGGAATTTGTTAACAGCCTACTTGGGAGAAGTTAGAGTAACCTGATGAACCATTTTAGTTATATTGCACTTACGTTTATTAGCTGTAAGATTTTATGAATGTAATGTGCATTGGCCTGTCTTTACATTGCCAAAATGATATAAAGCCTATGTTGAAAAATGGCCAACATAAGCATTGCTACATTGTAAATGCTTTTTATTAGTTTCTCTAAGATTAGAACATTGAAGTAGTTTAAATATTGTATTAAAACGAAGAAATTCTTTACACGATTTGCAAAGCCAAGGTATTTAGAAAATACGAGCAGGAAAAAGCCATTTGGCAGTTTGAGCCTGCTGCACCATTTAACAAGATTATAGCTAATTTTCTAGCTCAACATCATCTTCCCACATTATCATTCAAATCCCCAAAAACATGAGTATATCAACGACCCTCAATGATATTTAATTCAATAGGTTCACAAGATTTTGAGTGAGGATGTTTCTCCTCATGTCAGCCCTTTATTCTGAGGCTCTAGCCCACAAGCATAACTGCAGTAATGTTTTCCTCATAGCACCATCAAAACACAACAATTTTCAGCATTGTAAAGATTGTAACAACTCACTAATTGCACACATTGCAGGTAACGTTCTTTCCCCTTTCCTCACAGCATGCCATTAAACATTAAATATTACAGCTAATAAACATAAGTGCAATAGAACTAAAATGATTCGTCAGATTACTCTAAATTCTCCCAAGCAGGCTGTTGACAATACACTAAGACTTAATCTGTACCATGTGCAACAATTAGGATTTACAGTTGCATGAATTCTTGCATTTGAGAGTGTATTTCACTGTGGGCTGATTCACTTTCTTTCAATCAATGCAAACTATCTCCTTTCTCATTTTACTTAATCTTTACAGCTCTTTCATGCGCCTGCTTAGAAGATTGTATGTTAATTTTGCATTCAAAACTTTATATTGGCTTGTGTGCAACCCAAGAGCTAATTGGATCCCATCCCCCAACCCTCCTTCTGATACGTTAATGGCAATGGTGCCATTTCCTGCTCTCACCCAGAACTGGAGAACTTCATCAAATTTGTTTCTAGTTTTTATCTGTCTCTCACACCGAATTAAGTCTCAGATTTTGGATTTTTGGCAAGTGCCAGAGTGGGAAAGATGATTAAATTGTATGTATTTTCAAAAGATTGTTTTATTGCATTTGGTTTCAAAATTAATAGGAATGAAACCTTTAGCAGTTAATTTTTCTCAGTTCATTGGTAATAACCAAAAATACAATATTTATTTGCACAGGTGGTGCCTCTTTAGACCTCAATTCTGTGGAGCCTAAACCAAAGAAATGGATCCTTGACATGACTTGGTTAAATTTGGTGCAGCTTTCTCATTCATTCCCATTCACTCAACTATTAGTGCAGGTAGCAAAAAATGATAAAGCTTGGAAGCAGTGGTTTGATAATGAAGCTCCAGAAGAGGCTCCTCTCCCTGATGACTATGATAACATATTGGACACTTTCCGTAAACTCCTACTGATTCGTTGTTGGTGCCCAGATCGTACAATTGCTCAGGTAAATTTTTTCATTAGTTCACTTCTTGTAGTGTGCTTCTTTCTTGGACCACCATACATACTACGTACATATACAATTATTCAGTCTAATGTTTATCTCACAAGTGAGTGATATTATTTAGTGTAATGGCTGTCAAAGCAATTATTTTGGAAACTGCTTTAAGCTCCATACAGTGTGATGATGTCATAAGAATCTGTGTAGGGTCTGGCAGAACATTTTAAAGGATGAAGGATCGATATTTACAGGTCTCCCAATACTTTTGGTGGCAATGTCCAACTTAGTAATGTATCTTGTGGCTGGTTACTGCCATGCAATACATTTTGTTTGGGATATAAGCTTCTTCTCATTAAGACTCACCACTGGTTTTCCCCTATCTTCGGAAACCAGGTAGGCCCTTAAACCCAGTCAAGGGAAAGGGATGGTGGCAGCAAATTACCATGACCATAAGATGCTAGCACATGCAATACGGGCATTGCAAAACTCACACTTAATGCATTTGGAGTTCTAAAAGTTTCCCTCAGGACATTTGTTCACCATTACAAAGCCAGAAGATAAATAAGGATGAACAAAACTTACTGTTTTTCTCAGTTCAGCCATCGAGAAAAAATTATATTGCAATGGTTCTCAAGGGGATAATTTTGGAGACTTCTTTAGCTGCACATAATCTTATGATGTCCATGAGGATTTGAGTGGGCGAAGTTAGAACATTTGAGATATTAAGGATATGGGTCAAAGGCAGGTATATGGAGTTAGGCCACAGATCAGTTATGACCTCACTGAATGTTGGAACAGGCTCGAGGGGCTGAATGGCCTACTCCTGTTCTTCTTTCCTATGTCCCTATGTCGACAGACTGTATCCTTGTTTTGTTATCTAGCCATTTCTTAAATGATTTCAGATTTTATATCTTGTTATTTTATCTGTAAGTTCATTTTCATATTAATGACTTCTTGTGAGGAGAAACATTTCCTGATGCCAATCTTCAATTCCCTTTTATTAATTTTAATTTTGTTTCACTCCCTCATGATCACACCTTCAAATATTTTTCCAGATTTCCTTTATCCATACTGGTACTGAACTTTTATGATATTATGTAGCCCTGTAAGGTAACTATTCTGTCACTGCTTTTCAAGGTTAAAAAGTAATTGACTTTTCCAAATTGCTTCAAGTGTTAGAATGTCTTCCATGCATTTCAATGACAAGAACTGACTACAATACTCAAGGTGTCAACCGACCAGAATACAATATAATTTGAATAATATTTCCTGCACTTCTTGTCTATATATTCTAACAGTCTGCTTTGTTGATTGATGATATGCAGTGGTGTCAAATCTTACATCTTTTTCACCTTCTCCTTAACTATTTCAACATCATTATGGAGTACACATACACCTTTTCTTCATCTCTAACATCTTCTGGCTGAGAATATTGAATTTTATTTTCAATGTTTTTTACCATTTACAGAATTTGAAGAAAAGAGAGATCTTGACACTTGTTGATATTCTTGACATGTCTTGATAGGTCTGAGAGTTTCATAGGGCAGCATGGTGGCACAGTGGTTAGCACTGCTGCCTCACAGTGCCAGGGACCTGGGTTCGATTCCCCTTAGATGACTGTCTGTGTGGAGATTGCACAGTTTCCCTGTGTCTGTGTGGGTTTCCCCCAGGTGCTCTGGTTTCCTCCCGCAGTCCAAAGATGTGCAGGCTAGGTGGATTGGCCATGCTAAATTGCCTGTAGTGTTCAGGGAGGTGTAGATTAGGGGGATGGGTCTGGGTGAGATGCTCTGAGGTTTGGTGTGGACTTGTTGGGCCAAAGGGCCTGTTTCCACACTGTATGGATTCTATGATGTTGCACCCTTAGATTAACCTGCCTTTTCTACTTTAATTTTGGCCCAGATGTCACACTGAGAATTATGCTGAGATTAATGAGATTCACTATTATAATGGAATACATCTAACTCATGCATAATTAAGTGCAGAAGTCCAGAGAATGAAGTCCAGGTTACCCTGCTACTCTTTTACCTGTGGCATAACTGTGCCTCCAGTCAGTTGAAGTCAATGGAAAGCAAACAGATTTTTAGTGCCTACTTGCTAGTTACTCATTAAGTGTTGCAGAAAATGTTGTGGCTGGAGCATTCAAGTGTGAGTGAATTCTTAACATTGTGATCACTCATAATTAGTGCTTAATAAACTCTGGCCCTAAAAATATAACTTTGTTGTTGCTCCATGTAAATTGAATTAGAATTGGAGATTTTAAAGATTTTGCAATCATTAAAATTTCTTTCCTTTAATTGTTTATCTTTTCACTGTCCCCTTTCACTGTCTTTCTTTCCAAATCTTTATTTTACTTTCTGTATGATTTACATCATTAAGGGGAAATAGCTGCACATCGTGGTAATATAGCTGGATTAGTCATATGACCATAAGGTATAGGAGCAGAAGTAGGCCATTCTGCTTATCAAATCTGCTCCAGTATTCAATGAGGTGGATCTGATAATCCTCAACTCTTCTTTCCTGCTTTTTGCCCACAACCGTGATTCCTTAACTGATTAAAATCTGTCTATCTCAGCCTTCCGAAAACTCAATGACAGCCCTCTATGATAAAGAATTCCACAGATTCACTGAGAGAAGTTTTTTTTATTTCAAAAATATACTTTATTCATAAAAGCTCTCTTTGTATATATACATTGTCACATAAGCAGTTCAGTTCTGTTTAGTTGCATAGCAAGTAAATAAACAAAACATTGCACTTTGACTCTACCCAAAAAAAACAAAGACTTCTCTTACACATACAATACTAATATTTACATATATTTAAGGCACTGGGAGGGTCTGATAACTGAATGGGCCCCCATTTACCTTCAGCAGGAAGATTTCAGACTGTGGTTTTTGTCCACAGCGCCTTGGCAGCAGTTGCCCCAAGCTTCAGTGTGTCCCTCTGCACATAGTCCTGGACCTTGGAATGTGCCAGTCTGCAACACTCAATCGGGGTCAACTCTTTGTTCTGGAAGACCAGCACGTTATTCATAGAATCCCTACAATGTGGAAACAGGCCCTTTGGCCCAACAAGTCCACACCGACCCTCAGTGTATCCTACCCAGACCCATACCCCTATAATCCACCTAATCTACACATCCCTGAACACTACGGGCAATTTAGCATGGCTAATCCGCCTAACCTGCACATCTTTGGACTGTGGGACGAAATCAGAACACCCAGAGGAAACCCACGCAGAGACAGGGAGAATGTGCAAACTCCACATAGACAGTCACCCAAGGGTGGAATCGAACCCAGGTCCCTGGTGCTGTGAGGCAGTGATGCTAACCACTGAGCCACTGTGCCATCCCAGTGCCAGTTCTGAAAATCAACGCCAAACGCCAGCTTCGGAAGCCCACAAACTCTTAAGAAAATTAGAGGGAACAATGAAGGGACAGTCAAGCTGGAGATTAAGGTGGGGAATCCAACTGGGCAATTTGATGTGCTGGGGAGGATGAAAGAAACTGAATAAGGAGGGTGTAAGGCTGAGGCTGGGAATGGGAATCTTTGTTGGATTGAGATCAGGAGCAAAAGCAGGAGTAACCAGGTAGATCATGACAGGGCTAATAGAAACAAGAGGAAATTGAATATGGGCCAAGGAAAAGTTACAGGAATGGATAAAGCCATCAGCTGTTATGGGGTTGGTTGGGATTGGTGTAGGTGGATGTATACGGGAAAATGGGAGGATAGACAATCTAAATCGAAGTTTACTTAATCCATCCCTCCCAAGATTGTTTCCAATTTAAATTGTCCCAAAATCAGTTGAATGATTCTGACCATTTGAAGCGCACCAAGGAGGGGCCTTAGATCTGTTTACAAGTGCTTGGGCACAAAAAGCACACATCCTCAAGAAAGTGTCAACACTGGAAAATGCCATCACAAGAGCATTCATTAAGGCGTTTGCATTGAAGGGAATCGATCCCCATGCATTAGAGACAAATAATCTGTAAAAGCTACAAAAAGCAACCTCCCAATCCCATGCATACATTCTAATCTTTTTACAAGAAGAGCAGCTACCATTCTCTAGCAGCACTGAAAGTGATGGTTGGGTGTGGATGGGTGGAGGTGGCCCGGGCCCATTCACAGGCTGTGAATGTATAACATTAGGATGAAAGTATTATGTAGGGCTGAACCTTTCAATGTGTAAGGGCTGCTTTGCAGAGGGTAACAAAGGATAACAAGATTCATTTGTACTAACTGCCACATTATGCAATGCAACAATTACAAATGTCTTGTCCACAGCAGCATCTGGAAAGTGGAGAATCACTTGTGGGTGATGGAAGATGCACATTTTCATGTACATGTGTAAATAGGGAAGGGTTTCATCAAAACGGGTGGAGCCTGATAAGGACCTAAAGATGACAATGGCTACATCAAGATTTCAAATTGGAAACATACATCTCATTCCTGCAGCAGTGTTATTAGCTCTCATGCATGCATCAGAGACACAGACAATAAACAAATCTCTTGAGAAATATCACCAGCTATGCTTCCACAAAATCTTGGAAACCCACTGGCATGATAGACGCTCCAATGTCAGAGTTTTCTCTCAGAGCAGCGTATCTAGCATTGAGGCCCTGGCCACTGCCAATCCGCTGCATGTTGACTGTGAGCCTGACACACGACTTACAAACCTGCTCTCTAATCTGAGCTTCATCAATGTAAACACTTACCAGAAGGATGGAGGAAATGCTTCATCCTTAAAGCCTCCCTAAAAATATGCAACCACCCCACTGTCTCATGGGAATCTTGACCATTGACTGGAGAAAAATAGTCATCAAAATTGTTAGCTTCTTGAGCATTTCCAAAGACCCAGATGGAGGTTAAGTACAAATAATGAAAGCAGTTTGTGAAAACCAAGCATTCCACACACCTGCCCCTTTAAGGAATACCTACCCTGTTGTGGCAGGCAGTATTGGGCTGTTTAGTTACCTCAGCACCTACACCACTGGACGAGGATAACGTCATCCTTAATCCTAAGGAGCTGCCTAAGAGAAGAGAAAGGTTCAGTGTGGTTGAGGAGCTGAAATTGATGTAACACTTTACATAATGTGATATGCGTGTGAGGTGATCATTCTGAAGCTACATTTCATAATTGTTCCTTGGGTTAAAGGGGCCATTAACAGGATGGAAAACTCTAAGTAGTGGAGTGCCACAGGGGTTAGGGCTGGGGCCACAATTATTCACAGTATATATTAATGACTTGGATGGAGGAGAGTTAATGCACTGTAGCTAAGTGTGTGGGTGACAAAAAATGTAGGTGGAGAGGCATGTGGTGAGGCAAATGGCAAAACAGACTCAGTGGGCTGAATGGCCTACTTCTACTATCTCTTATAGTGTGTCCTTTGATCCTATAACAAATTAATCCTATAAAATCTGTGAAAAATTTACGAGTGGATTATTTCCATCATTAAACATTTATTTCACAGCAGACAACTCTTTGCACTGTTGATTTTTGTTTGATTTATTTTCTGTTTCATTTGAGGTAACTTTTTTTGAATGCTTTTCAATACTGTTGACCAGTATCTGCAGTGTTTGTTTGTTTAACTCAGTTCCTTATGTTGTTCTGTTGTACATTTGACGTAATCCATATTTTCCATGGCTTTTACTTCCCTCAGGCTCGACATTACATTGCAGCCTCACTTGGAACAAAGTATGCAGAAGGAGTTATTCTAGATATGGAAGCAATGTGGGTGGAAAGTGATAATCGAACACCTATGGTGTGTTTCCTTTCCATGGGCTCTGATCCTACAGAAAGTATTGAACGTTTGGCCAAGACCAAGGTACATTGTGTATATACCTTCAAAGTACAGCAATTTTCTTTTGTTAATTCTCTGTTATTTTTGTTTTCTTAATTTTACACCCTACATGCAGATTTGTAGGAGACAAATCTTGGACTAACTTACAATACATCCCACATTTTGGTCTCATGTTTGCCAGCAACGATCAGTTCAGGGGTTGGAAATGTTATATGGCATGGTGCTACATCACTATCGTACCTGCAGTATGTTCCAGCAGCTTACGTGGCATATGCAACGAACTTGCTTCAACCAAATGACCAAGTTTGAAGGACTAAAGGGAGTAATGAGCTGGTCAAAATAACACATTCCCTTCCCTTCCCCATGGTTGTGCAATAAATGCTGGCCAAGTCAGTGACACCAACACCTCAGAATGAGTAAAAGTAGTCCTGGCCTGATGCAGGCTCACCCTCATTTCCACAGCATTGGGGGTCACAGGAAGGGTGAGGTTGGAGGGGTAGGTACCTTTGGAGATTACTGGAAGGAAGGTATATGGTTCCTCATTTGGATTGGCATCTGCTGACACCACCCTATCTGGAAGGGACATCTGTAGCGAGTTTAATGTATCACATCCCCCCGTCCCATTGCTCATGAGGTATCCTGAGTGAGTGATTAGGAAGCACAGAGGGGCCTGAAAGCTTAGTAATCTGGAGGGTCACAGGGTGAGTGAGCGCTGATGAATGAACACGCTATTTGCAATAGTGAAAGTTGTAGTCCATAAGACTTGGTAGGAGATGAATGCAGTTGTGGAGTTAGAGTGATTATGAGGTAGCAGAGAGAAGATGGTGGCACTTAACCTTGCAGAATACAGAAGGTCATTGACCTTCTTGTGGCATGGCTGCTCGTTTCTCTGGAACATGGAAATGGCCCGACCCAAATGGAAACTTCGAAGCGTCCATGGTGCGATGGTCTCTTCTGGTGGTCCTGAGAAAAGAGGGTGACCCTCGTCTCCACCATCCATCCATCAGAAACTGCAGCTTCCTATCAGCATTACAAGGTATCAACTCACCCCTTTCAGACAGTTCCTTTGGAATTGTACAGCAACACACTGTGAAGGGTAATTCCTGATTAGCAAAATTTGAAATCGTGCAGAGTTGAGGTTTAAATATGGCATTGGTGGCATGAACGTTGGAATGTCCTGGTTCTGGCGAGTACATCTGCTGCTGCTGCTGAGCATGAGAGTGGGGTAGTGGAGGCATAATGCATACGTACTGAGTCACCGGTGCAACATAAGAAAAGTCCCCAGGCTTCACAGAGGGGGAAGCCTCCATGAAACTCCCCAACATTAACACAGCTTAAACACGGGAATATTCAGTCCATCTGCTTCCATGTATGTGACAATTTAATCGATTAAATTAAAAAGTAATATTCATATTCTTGAAAACATCCGCTCATTTGATCTAAGTTATGTTTTTTAAATACAGTTAAGTAGAATGTATAATTTTGCAAGTCATGAATATATGCATTTCATGTTTGTTTTACACAGGCTAAACTTTTATCAACTCTTGATGTTGTATAAATGATGTGACAAGTAATTAAGTTTTGCTTCAAAGTATGAAGGTGTAGATTGAATGAGCCAATTTTATATTGCTACAAGTATAGAGAGATTTTTTTTGCGTTTCTTTAGAATGTGCCCTGCCGTGCCATATCTATGGGTCAGGGTCAGGAGATCCATGCAAGGCGTTTGCTGACTCAGAGCATGCAGGATGGTGGCTGGCTCCTTTTACAGAACTGCCACCTGGGCTTGAACTTCTTGGATGAGCTTTTAGATACAGTCACTGCCACAGAATCTATGCATGATGGATGCCGAGCCTGGATCACAACAGAGGTCCATCCAAAGTTTCCCATCAACTTATTACAATCATCTATTAAATTTACCAACGAACCCCCTCAAGGTAGGAGAGAATTTCAAGAAATTTCTTGGAGCGGCTCAAACTCTTTCACCATAACTTCACTGGAAGTATGCAGTAACGTTCTTTCAAATAAGCAAACAGGATTTTCACCCGCTCCTTTGATGTTGCTTCCTCTCGAACAGCATTGTGGGTGTCCCTACACCAAATGGACTGTAGTGGTCCAAGGAGTCAGCTCATCACCACCTTCTCAAAGGGTAGTTAGGGATGGGTGAGAAATGCTGGCCCATTCAGTGACACCAACAGCTCCTTAGTGAATAAAAAGAAAATCTGACTTCCTGTGAACGTGCAATGAAAGAGCAAGACAGCTGCTAAATAATTCCTAGCCTGTGTGTGCAACATTGAATTTTCTTAACAAAAAAAGAAAATTCTACTTTTCTGTGAGCCAAAAGTGGAGACAATAGGCTGTTAACAGCAGTGAGATTTCTCAAAGCGACCATAACCTTTAAGTTGTTTCTGCTTTGCCAAATGCTCATAGAATAGATATCTACCATTTGCTAATATACAGTATCTAATCCATTTGCAATGGAATTTTTTTTTTCTCTCTTCAGTAAAGCATAAATGCTTCCTAGTGACTTAGCTGACCAAAATCCTTCAGTAGTTGATACATAGCATGAGGAAGTTCTAGTAGATATTTTGTAATCAACCTGTTCAGAAATGTTATTAGACACCTTCTGGAGCAGGTGGGACTTGAATCCAGGCCTCTAATGCTCAGAGGCTGGGACACTACCACTGCACCACAAGAGCCACAGAAGTTTTCATACTCTGTGCTGAATTATGAATCTCAGCTGTGCTGTGTTAAGAGTGCTACCAGTGGTTGCAATTAGAGCCGGTAATATTGCGTAGTATTGTTATTTGTGGAGTCCTTGAATGATGGTAATTGGTCTCCAACGATCACAAGACTGTGTCAGACAGAATATAAGCCACGGTTGGGGGCACCAATCTAATGTGTCTATATGATCCTTTCTGACACTTCCGAAGTGTATAGATTCTCAGCAGGACTTGAAAAGTTTGGTGGAAAGCTGAGTCTTCAATTCCATTCCTATCGAAAGCTATATCTCCCTCCCAATGACCCAGCTGGCAAAATTGACAACAGTATCTTCACTGTGAAACATTTAAATAAAGGCATTGAAGCACAGCACAGAAACCTATCCATTTCTTTTCTGCTTTGCCGTGCTATTCTGTTCATCCCAGAAACTGGCAGGAGAGGGATGGAAAGCTTTGATTCAATCCAATCCCCAAAAAATAAAAAAATCTTCATATCTAAGGGACTTTACTGACCGTCACCTGTAAAAGCACTAGTATGTATCTCCTTGACAATACAGGGTTCCTTCTTGGCTATGGAAATTCTATCAGACAATCCAGACATCCTGCCTGAACTCTCCTCCAGTAGCAGGAGAGAAATGTCACCCTTCTTATAAGAGATAGTGGCTGAACAGCTAGAGCTAATGAAAATCATGAGCTTCTTTTTTCTATACATTTGTGGGATGTGGGTGTTACTGGCTGGCCAGCATTTCTTGCCCATCCCTAGTTGCCCTTGAGAAGGTGGTGGTGAGCTGCCTTCTTAAACTGCTGCAGTCCTCCTGCTGTAGGTTGACCCACAATGCTATTAGGGAGGGAATTCCAGGATTTTGACCCAGTGACAGTGAAGGAATGGTGATATAATTCCAAGTCAGGATGGTGAGTGACTTGGAGGGGAACTTGGAGGTGGTGGTGTTCCCATATGTCTGCTGCCCTTGTCCTTCTAGATGGAAGTGGCCGTGGGTTTGGAAGGTGCTGTCTGAGGATCTTTGGTGCATTTCTGCAGTCTATCTTGTAGATAGTACACACTGCTGCTACTGAGCGTCAGTGGTGGAGGGAGTGAATGCTTGTAGATGTAGTGCCAATCAAGCGGGCTGCTTTGTCCTGGATGGTGTCAAGCTTCTTGAGTGTTGTTGGGGCTGCACTCATCCAGGCAAGTGGGGAGTATTCCATCACACTCCTGACTTGTGCCTTGTAGATGATGGACAGGCTTTGAGGAATCAGGAGGTGAGTTACTCGCCACAGTATTCCCAGCTTCTGGCCTGCTCTTGTAGCCACTGTGTTAATGTGGTGAGTCCAGTTGAGTTTCTGGTCAGTGGTAACTCCCTGGATGTTGATAGTGGGGGATTCAGTGATTGTAACACCATTGAATGTCAAGGGACGGTGGTTAGATTGTCTCTTATTGGTGATGGTCATAGTCTGGCATTTGTGTGGCGCGAATGTTGCTTGCCACTTGTCAGCCCAAGCCTGGATATTGTCCAGATCTTGTTGCATGTGAACATGGACTGCTTCAGTAACTGAGGAGTCACGAATGATGCTGAACATTGTGCAATCATCAGCGAACATTCCCACTTCTGACCTTATGATGGAGGGAAGGTCATTGATGAAGCAGCTGAAGATGGTTGGGCCTAGGACACTTACCTGAGGAACTCCTGCAGAGATGTCCTGGAGCTGAGATGATTGACCTCCCACAACCATGACCATTTTACTATGTGTCAGGTACGACTCCAACCACCAGAGTCTTTGCCCCCTGATACTCATTGATTCCAGTTTTGCTAGGGCTCCTTGATGCAACACTCAGTTGAATGCAACCTTGATATCAAGGGCTGTCACTCTCACTTCAACTCTGGAATTCAGCTCTTTTGTCCATGTTTGAACCAAGGCTGTAATGAGGTCAGGAGCTGAGTGGCCCTGGCGGAACCCAAACTGGGCGTCACTGAGCAGGTTATTTCTGAGCAGGTGCTGCTTGATAGTGCTGTTGATGACACCTTCCATCACTTTACTGATGATCGAGAGTAGACTGATAGGGCAGAAATTGGCCGGGCTGGATTTGTCCTGCTTTTTGTGTACAGGATACACTTGGGCAATTTTCCACATTATCGGGTAGATGCCAGTGTTGTAACTGTACCGGAAAAGCTTGGCTAGGGGAGGAGCAAGTTCTGGAGCACAAGTCTTCAGTACTATTGCCGGAATGTTGTCAGGGCCCGTAGCCTTTGCAGTATCCAGTGTCTCCAACCGTTTCGTGATATCACATGGAGTGAATCAAATTGGCTGAAGACTGGTATCTGTAATGCTGGGGACCACTGGAGGAGGCCGAGATGGATCATCCAGTCGGCACTTCTGGCTGAAGATTGCTGCGAATGCTTCAGCCTTATCTTTTGCACTGATGTGCTGGGCTCTTCCATCATTGAGGATGGGGTTATTTGTGGAGCCTCCTCCTCCAGTGAGTTGTTTAATTGTCCACCACCATTCACGACTGGATGTGGCAGGACTGCAGAGCTTAGATCTGATCTGTTGGTTGTGGGATTGCTTAGCTCTGTCTATCTCTTGCTGCTTTCGCTGTTTGGCGTGCAAGTAGTCCTGTTTGGTGGCCTCACCAGGTTGATCCCTCATCTTCAGGTATGCCTGGTGCTGCTCCTGGCCTGCCCTCCTGCACTCTTCATTGAACCAGGGTTGATCCCCTGACTTGATGGTAATGGTTGAGTGGGGGATACACTGGGCCATGAGGTTACAGATTGTGCTGGAGTACAATTCTGCTGCTGTTGATGGCCATCAGCACCTCATGGATGCCCAGTCTTGAGTTGCTAGATCTGTGCTAATTCTGTCCCATTTAGCACAGTGATAGTGCCACACAACACGATGGCGATTGTTCTCCATGAGAAGGCGGGACTTCATCTCCACAAGGACTGTGCAAAGGTCACTCTTACCGATACTATCATGGACAGATGTAACTGCAGCTGGCAGATTAGTAGGGATGAGGTCAAGTATGTTTTTCCTTCTTGTTGGTTCCCTCACCACCTGCTGCAGACCCAGTCTAGCAGCTATGTCCTTTAGGACTCGACCAGCTCGATCATTAGTACTGCTGCCGGGCCACTCTTGGTGGTGGGCATTGAAATCCCCCACCCAGAGTACATTTTGTGTCGTTGCCATCCTCAGTGCTTCCTCTAAGTGTTGTTCAACATTGAGGAGTAGTGATTCATCAGCTGAGGGAGGACGGTATGTGGTAATCAGCAGGAGGTTTCCTTGCCCATGTTTAACTTGAAGCCATGAGACTTCATGGAGTCCAGAGTCAGTGTTGAGGACTCCTAGTGCAACACCCTCCCGACTGTATACCACTGTGCCACTCCCTCTGCTGGGTCTGTCCTGCCGGTGGGACAGGACATATCCAGAGCTGGTGATGGTGGTGCCTGGGACATTTTCTGTAAGGTATGATTCTGTGAGTATGACTATGTCAGGCTGTTGCTTAACCAGTCTGTGAGACAGCTCTCCTAATTTTGGCACTAACCCCCAAAACGTTAGTGAGGAGGACATCTGAGTGTCTTGTTAGGCCATTACAGAGAGCAGTTGAGAGTCAATCACATTGCTGTGGGTCTGGAGTCACATACAGGCCAGACCAAGTGAGGATGGCAGATTTCCTCCCCTCAAGGATATTAGTGAACCAGACGGGGTTTTCCTGACAATGGTGATCAGATCCTTAATTCCAGGGTTTTGTTTTTGAATTTTGAATGGTGGGATTTGAACCCAGGTCCCCAGAACATCAGCTGGGTTTTCTGGATTAATAGCCTAGCAATAGTACCACTAGGCCATCACCTACCCCTTTCCCCACTGCTCTGGGAGACCAAGTAGCTGAGTTTGCCATGTGTTTCAGAAGATGCTGATAATGGGAGTTCAAGTCTTGATCTGGCTAAGGAAGAATTTGCATCTTCTCCTCAGAGAAGAAGGCAATGGCAAACTAATACCATTTAAAAAGAAAAGTCAAGAAATCAGCTCAGGATGAAACATTAGTAGATAATAAGCAGAACACTCAGGAATAAAAGAAAAATTAAAGTGATAGAATTGGTACAATACAAATGGAGAGATTGTGAAAGAAAGTCTAAGACAAAATTTTCCACAGTGCCCTCGATTTTGCTAGATTTAGGAGATGGATTTCCCAAATGTTCTAAATTAGCAGGGGTTGGGTAGTAGTTTTTGGATGAGACAGATTTGATGGAGTAGCTGTATTCTTCCTTTTTCATATGTTCACACATCAGTTTGTATCTACACAGGGAGCATTTTGTTTTTCTCACAGACTTGGAGTAGCTTGAGGTTTACCTCTTTTGTTCAAATTATTCAGTTCATCAATTTGGACATTTCTATTGAGTCCGACAATGAAGATTTGGGGAATAAATTTGATTATATAGCAAAGGTTATATACCATTGTTCCACACGACTGTTCTGTCATTAGAGAGAGATAACTAGTGGTGAGTTTAACCTGAGGGTCACCATGCCTCAGGTATTGAACGAGTCTGAGAAGACAGAGCCTTCATTGTAACCTGAGCCAGTGTATGTCTTGGATCACAGGGTGTATCCAAGAGGTTCTTTTCGGATTCAGTTAAATGTAGTTGAGAGAAGACTCAACAATAGCAATTTGCTTAAATATGAACATTGATTGAGTAATAATAACACACAAAAAAAAGGAACATTTATTGAGTAATAATAAAAAATAAAAAAGAGAGGAAATAACAATAAGCCTCAAGTCCTTCTGCCCGTTGCGGAATCCTCGACTGATGGCTGGTCTGGAGGTTGAGGTTGTTCCTGGCACAGTTCACAATCCCGCCCCGAGGTGAAATCTGATGGCTTGGAACAAAACTCTCTCTCTTACACCAGTATAAAAAACAGCCACTACAGAAAACAAACTGAACAAGTACAGAAAAGCAACTTTGACTGTGCCATCTTTGGCATGTACAGGAATGTTGACAGGACTCATTCAAGGTCATGCTTCTGTTGAATATCATCAACAATTTTACCCTTCAGCCCATCTTATACAGCGTAGGAAGTGAACTGATGTTGTTTGCATCACAAACTGACTGTCCAGTCAACTGAGCTAACCAACCCCATTCAGAATGTCTCTATGTATGATCCCTTGGGGGTCCATGAACTGCTCTCTGTCCAACATTCATCAATAATATCAATGAGGAAATCTGCACTGCACATGCATCCTGGTCTGTAGTGCTGCTTCTCCTCACTGAAGTAGCCTGAGGCTACACAATGCCACTGAAAGTATGGTTGAATCTAGAACCACACTCCTTACTGAGATGATTTCACTCACATGACCATGTGGCATGAAATGAGTTAAAGAGACAAATTTCCATTGTTTGGTTTGTTTTTAATGAGGACCCATTAAAGAAAAAAAAATGATGCCATGAAGCAACCCATTCATTTACATGAGTCAGAAGAATAATAGTCAAGTAAGGAAAAAGATTACACGAAGGGAGAAATGGAATACTGCCCCTTCCTAGTGTATAGGAATTGATTAGTACAAAAGTAAATATATCCTTTCTACAAACTGGCTGCTTAAATTATTACAGTACTGTAATGAGCTGTTAAATCCTAAGGGTAAAAGACACACTTCATGGCGTTGGTATATTTTTGAACTTGAGAGTTTACAAGATATGCATATTGTGAAAAATGTGTTTTGATTTTATTTTCAATTTTTAGTGTTATAGAAAGAATGTTATATTTTGGACCTTCAAGGGAACTAACTTCCCAGCAATTATTTAACATTTACATAGTTTGAAAGATTACAATATAAGCTGTAAGGTTTATTTCATTTTTTCATGAGTGACATTGATTCAGTTACTTTACATTCCTGGTATCTCTAAACATCAATCCAAATGATGTTTTCTCTGCTTGTCTGTATTCTTATAAATGTGTAGGTGTGAAAGCTGGTCTGAAACGTACTTACAGTAGCATCACCCAAGAACAACTGGATATCAGCAATATGTCACAGTGGAAACCTTTGTTATATGCTGTGGCATTCCTCCATACAACTGTGCAGGTATAGCTTTTCTAGTTCATTGGGACATAATTTATGATGTAATCCCATTTGTAATGAACAAATTTAAACCTCCCAAATCTAATTGCGTCAATGGAAGAACACTTCTGTTATAATTGTTACACATTTGAGAAGCAAGTCCAAACACTGTAATCTCTCATTTCCAGTGACGTTCCATGTATAATAATTAATGGGAGAAATTCTGGTTGATTCTGGCATAGTTTTATGATCTCCCTGTCATATTTCTTTCTCCGTATTGAGCTTAGGGCATGCTTAACATCCAGGTATTAAAGACAACCATCTATCCCAATGTCTTAATAAATCATTCAAGAGAGAAATGTTGCTTTAAAACCAGCAATGTTTTCTGCTTAGCAGTTTTGAGAATGCTCACTATCAGTGGCTTTGCTGGTAACATTCAAAACATCCATATGTCTACAGTCAAACCAACTATTTTGTCAAGACCTTCCCTAACATGATTACAAGAGTTGGCAATATACGCTAAAATGCCAACTGAAGGTAGTAGTGACAGAAACTTTTGCTGAGTTATTCCCCCAGTAAAATGAAGCCTTTCTCTGTAGAAGAGTAATTTATTGAATTGCTTCCACTGTGATACAGAATTCATCAGATATCAACAGGGTTCAGGAGTCAAAAGTTAAATAAGGCAAGATTGGTTATTACTGATGATGATATGGTGACTTGTTCCCGAGACAAAATGTTTCTGTTGGCTTATGTAAGGTCCATAAAATTATAACCCAGAAGTCTTTAGTCTGTTGAGTCAACACTGGATCTTTGAAAGGCTTGTCCAATTTGCTCTCAAACACTAACAGTTTTCTTAGTAAACCTGAAAATTTATCTTCTTCAAATGCATGTCCTCTTCAACTTACCATTAATATGTGGTGTAATGCTAATAACTGGCTTCATTAGGTACATGTCAATCTCATCATTTAATCAGTGTAGGAACTCCAGGTTGCCTATACATCTACAAATTTCTCTTAAGTAACCTAAATGATCAATTCAAAGTTGGTAGCTATATATTGCAATCCAGATTTAAATTAAAGATATCCTATGATTTCAGCTAGCATGCTAGTATATAAAATAAATAGACTATCTCAGCAGCCACATTGAATTCTATGAATAATTTGGTTGGTTCTGCATACTGTCATAACTCATTTAGATCTCTATTGTTTGTGAATTGTAGATCTTTTGTACTTCATAGAATCATAGACATTTACACAGAATGTGCCTTTCAAACCCACGTACCTTTGTAGTTGAGAGAAAGCTTTTCAATCTTATTCCAATTTCCAGCATTCCAATATGGCACTTCAAATGCATCAACAGGTAATTTGATGAGTGTTTAGATCTCTGCTCCCTTTAAGTCAATGAGTTCTAGGCCTCTACCACCTTTTGTGTGTAAACCTTTCTTGGTAATTCCATGGTTATCTATTCTATGAATTATCTTAATTCGATGCCTCTTAGTTATTGACCTCTTTGCTATGGAGTATAAATCCTTCCTTTTCACTCAATTTAGTGAAAAAATGTACTTAGAAACGTGTAGCACAATAAACAGAACTCTGGACAATACTGTGGGCAAACTGTCCCTTGGATGCTTTATTTGAAAAATGGAAGCGAGGTTCTTCCTAATCTCCAGGCTAGTATTTACACTTTAACCAATGTCGTATGATAATGATTATATGGCCATTACCATGTTTGTGTTTGGATGGGAGGCAATAGTGTAGTGTTAATCTCTTTGGGCTGGTACTCCAAAACCCCATGCTAATGTGCTGTGGAAAACTGAAAGAACTGCAAGAAGAGTCACTGCACCTGAAACATTCACTCTGATTTCTTTCGTCAGATGCTATCAGACCTGCTGCGTTTTTCCAGCAACTTCTGTTTTCATGTAATGTGCTGAGGATGTGGGTTTGATCTCCATGATAGCAGATGGTGAAGTTTGAATTCTTTAAAATCTGGAATAAAATGCTAGTCGAATGGCAAACATACAACCATTGTTGATTATCATAAAAACCCCATCTGGTTCACTAATGTCCTTTAGGGAGATAAATCTGCTGTCCTTACCTGGTCTGCTCTACATGTGACTCCATCAACATTATTAGTTCTTAACTGCCCTCTGGGCAGTTAGGGATGGCTAATAAATACCGGCCTAGGTAACAACACCCACATCCCATGAACAAATTAAAAAAGAACTATGCTGTGTAATTTGACAGCTATATTTCCAGCATTACAGCAATGTCTGCATTTCAAAAGTATATTGTAGACTCTAAAGTATTTTGAGATGTCTTTGGGTCATGTAAACTTTTCTTTTAAATTGTGTATTGTAATTCTAGTTTGTTTTTCCAATTAACATCTACAGGAAAGACGCAAGTTTGGCCCACTTGGATGGAATATTCCATATGAATTCAATCAGGCAGACTTTACTGCCAGTGTTCAATTTGTGCAGAACCACCTGGATGAAATGGATATTAAGCGTGGTGTGAACTGGAACTGCATGCGCTATATGCTGGGGGAGGTGCAGTACGGAGGGCGTGTAACAGATGATCTTGATAAGCGACTACTCAATACATTTGCAAGTGTGTGGTTTGGGGAAACAATGTTCACAGATAAATTTTGCTTCTACAAAGATTATATCATTCCACAAGGCAAGACAGTTCAAGATATCCTGCAATACATTGAGAGTCTTCCGCTTGTTGATAGTCCTGAGGTATTCAAGATTTTGTATGCTATGATGAAAATCTACGAGATCTTAAGTTCAGTATCTGTGTTCTAAGAATGACTCAGGTATTTTCCCATTTCTAATGCATTTACTTCATCATGTGCTGGACCTCAGTAAAACAGGGTATGACCAACACATGACCAGTTAATGATGTGACAAAGGTTAAAGAGAAAGGTTATTCTGGTAGAAAAGAGGGAATAACTTTGATTTGGAATTTGATTGAGTAATTACAGACTTCTAAAAAGGCATTACTTGCTATTATTTTCTGATCTGTACTTCTTAGAACAATAGCTACTTTAATTCAACCTCTGCCAGAATTCGCAGTACCTCGTTAAAAAGTGAAACTGAACTAACTTAAATGTTATTTCTGAAGAAGGGTCTAGGCCCGAAATGTCAGCCTTCCTGCTCGTCTGATGCTGCTTGGCCTGCTGTGTTCATCCAGCTCTACACCTTGTTAACTCATTATAAGCACTATTTATACAGTAGTTTGTTCGAGCAGTGGTTGAAATGTAGTTTGCGAACAAACTAGAGCTGGAGAATTGTGTGCACATTAAGCTTTGTTGTCAGCAAGTAGCTGCTTAGTTTGTGGACTAGTGACCAGTTTCATTGACAAAGATGTTCTTCCTGCCAACAACGATATGGTTGGTTCTGAGGTAGCTGAACAACTTGGGGTTGTGAAAAAGATAGAGACGGCTTCAGAACTTCATCTGCTCAAGAGATTTCTCTGTTCTCTACAGTCAAAGCTACTTTAAGCCTGAAGAATCAGTTTATTTTGTCTCCAGCAGTTGCTGCAAACTGTGACTTTCAATTAATAACCCAAAGACCTTTTATAAGGGAGCCAGTCACCTTGTACTTGTTGTAAGCCACTGAAAGCATCTGGAAAGGAAGGGTGTGCAGTAGCATTCTGAGCAGTACAAGAACCATCTTAGCAAATTGTGTGAACAGAGACCAATGAACTAATTGTCCCAGTTTTTCTCCATCTATAACATCCATGTTTTTTTTCTCTGTGTGTGAAACAGGGAATTTATAAGGGGATAGAGTTTTAACCAGTGGAGTTATATGCTGATGGTTCATAACTGTTTACCTGTAGCCAATTACTTGTAATAAATAATAGATCTGGTTAAGTACAGAAACCTGCCTGTGCCTCTATCATCTTGGATCTAAACTACAGATAAATTGGGGAATATTGTATACTTCTTAAAATCTTTATATTTTTGATGACGGTGGGAATAATGGAACAGTGCACTCCCTTAGTGAAGCATAACAACTGATAATTAATATTCGGTATAACTTTCTGTTAAGGTAAGAATTGGTGAGTATATTAGAGCAGCACACTGTGAGACAGTTTGATGCATTATTTTATTATTGGGCTTTACATGGAAATGGCACTTCATGGTCTTCAGTTCCAAATTAATGTAATTTATGTCTCTCTAAGCATTTCAGATTAACAGAACACTTGTCTGGGATATTTTGGTTGAATCTTCCTCTTTGATTTTACCTGAACGTTGTTGCTTGACATCACACAAGCCTGTTTTTTCTGTGAATGCTTTCTTTCTTATTAAGCCATGAGTTGTACCTGATATTGGGGCCGTATTTGAAAGGTCCACAAAAGAAATCTGTAATATACCAGCATTACTGTTTCTACAATATACAAAATGTACACAATATGACAGGGGTGGATTGATGTCTGCCAACTATAGTCAAGATTTTGTAAAATATTTGTGTCAAAATCAAAACCAGCACAATGTGGAATCAATAAATGATCTTTAAATTTCATGGTGTGAGAGGTGACATTTACACCAATCTCATGCAGGCCCTTTGCAAAGATTTGATTCTATGTCAGGTGTAGGATCCTGAATGCAAATTCAGGTATAAATGGACCAAGTATGCAATGACTAGAAGCATCAGCATTGTGGATCCTACCAGCAATCTTTAAAGAGACCACATGAAAGTAGCATAAAAATGTGGACTCAGCATTAGCAAAAGTTCTCTGGCTAATTGTTGCTGTATTTTGAGCACCTAGCCCCTACCCCTATCCCACCATTGGCTGCATTTTTCCTCCCATAATACACTGTGTAAGTGTAAAAGCAAGTCAGTTCGCCAACTTATCCAACCAAAGAGCAGAAACAGAATATCTCATTGCTGGCTTAAAGATGAGGCTAAAATTCAAATGTGAATCAGTTAGAGGCTATTTAGGGCTCGTATATGGGGTTTCTCTTAATTTTATAAAATTTTAATTTATCACACATTTATGAAATTGGCATTACTAATATAGTCTGTTTCCATATAGATTGCTTCAGAGGATCATGGTGATGCTATTTTAACAAATTTTCAGCAAGAAACGTTCTTTGTTGATTTCCTGCGTGATGCTCCAGAGCCTACAGGAGATGAGCCGGATGATGTGGAATTAGAAGCTCCTAAAATGTATGAACCAATTCCATCATTTGATCAGTTGGCTGAGCGCCTTCGAATATATATGGAGCAGTACAATGAAGCCGTCAGAGGTGCAGTGATGGATTTGGTATTTTTCAAGGTATTGGCTTATAGTTTATCTCTTCGTGTCATGGACATATCATGAGTTTTAAAACAAATGCCTCTTCCTATTCTCATTACCCATCCATAAACAGATTGTGATTTAATTTCTTCCCCTTTAAGTATGGAGTGGGGGCATGTATTTCCTTCACTCCCTCTTTTTTCAGTATGATTTCATTTTTTTTTAAACCTTTCAGTTGTGGGATGTAGGGCCACCATTCATTGCCCATCCCAAGTTACCCTTGAGATGGTGTTGTGCACTTCCTTCTTGAACTGCTGCAGCCCACTTGGTGTAGATAGATCCACAATGCCATCAAAGAGTGAGTTCCAGGATCTTAATCCAGGGATACCAAAGGAATGGTGATATATTTCCAAGTCAGGATGGACAAAATCTGACTTTACAAGGACTGTAATAACATTGTTGTAAAGCTAAAAAACAGAAGTGGAGTTCATTTCTCATAGTCTTGATGCAGTTTTGAGGGGAGGGGGATGCTTCACAACATAGACGCACATACAATGAACATACATGGACTGTGAGAATCAAATAAGATAAAGAAATTATTCAATTGATAACAATGGAAGTACAAAGGAAAAGAATCAATGGATGGCACTTTAACAATGCCTTTGTTTTTAAAGGCAGAGTCTAAAAGTCCAAAATTGGTGTTAGCAGTCTTAGATTCTTTCAATGGTTGTGGTTTGTTGGCTAGCCAGAAGTTGAAAAGTTGTAGCCAGTGTCTTCTCTTTCAAAAGTCTTTTCAGGAGGTTTTGCTAAAATGTAACTTCTTTTTCACTGTATTGATGAAGAAAATGTTGCTTGCAGAGAGCACAAATACAGCTGCTCTTTACAGACCAGAGGCTTTTTTCCTCGTGTTGCCCAGAGTTAACAGTGTTGATATTCAATCGATGTTGTATGGACAAGTGCTAATCCCTAAACTGTCTGTTGTTTCTAAATTGTATATTTAAAAGGCGGTTGAAGTCACTACTGGGGGAATGAGGCAACTACGTTTGATGTGGTGGGAGAAGCAGTTTGCCTTGAGACAAAGGTTTGCACTGCAGAAAGCTAGTTGTCCATGGTTCATTGCAGCAATAAAGTGGAAAGTCTTCTTGTTAGATGGATGTAACTTGCAACTTTATTATATAAGCATTCCTCTTGGAAGCAATCATTTTCGTGGCAGATTATAACACAATGGTGAACATTTCAGACCCATCAGGAGATACCGGGAAGTTAATTGTCTGGCTGACGTTGACGTTGGAGATGTTTTCCAGAAGATTATTGCCAAGACCAGTCACTTAATTACAGCAGACACCTTTGTGGTTTGTTTACTGTTTTTTTTAGAATGGTCACTAAATATAAGATTAACAATTGTTTTTCACTTTGTCCATGATGGCTCAGTAATGTAAACTGAAATGTCTGATATAGTCAAGGACTAGAGACTAAGAATCAATACCAGAGCTTTTCTTTGCTTGGAAACATTTATATCTGCAATTGTCAATATAGCTAATCGGTTTCCATTCAGGGATATTCAATCCCTGAATATCCTAGACTGAACTATTATTAAACTGATACAGATAAGCAACCCTGCTGCTTCTGTTACATTTTCTGTGATAACTCTGAGGATTACATGTTCTTTTGTCCTTTCTTTTCCTTTTACACTAAATGGCCATTACTCAGCCACTGGTGAAGCTTAAAGGCACATTCACAATGGAGTTAGTGAGGCTGGAATTAAATGGGCTATTATGAGTATGAGCTTCATGATGAAGGCCTTACAATAAACGTTCTAAACTGTCAGTGAAATTTTCAGATACAGATGGGTCTGCTGTAATTTTCCAACACGCACTATCAATTATAGCATTTACTCCTTTTTCTATGTGTTGGGGGTCTTTATCCTTGTTTTAGTACAAATCTAATAGCTTGCTGTAAGAATGCACTATTTATCAAACAAGGTCTGGTAATGTTATGTCAGTGCTATGTGCTGGATTAAAAATTTGAAATTCTTATTTTTTAAGTTTTCTCATGGAATGTGGGCATTACTGGTTTGGCCAGCATTTATTGCCTTTCACTAGCTGTCCTTGAGAAGGAGGTTGTATGCTGCCCTCTTGTACTGCTGCAGTCCATGTGCTGTAGGTAGATCCATAATGCTGTTAGGGAGGGAATTCTTGGAGTTTGACTCAGCGACTGTGAAGGAAGGGCAGCAACAATATATTTCCAATTCAGGATGGTGAGTGGCTTGGAAGGGAATTTGCAGGTGGTGGTGTTAACTGATGAGCTTTCATTTAGATGATGCATTTTTTTCTAATCTGCAAATGTAATTCTTTGTCACTAAAAGGACGCCATGATACATTTGATGAAGATATCCCGTATCATTCGGACTCCACAAGGAAATGCCTTGCTCGTGGGAGTTGGTGGATCCGGAAAACAGAGCCTTACTAGACTGGCTTCATATATTGCAGGATATCAAAGCTTTCAGATTGTACTCACAAGGTAAAAATGTTTTGCAGTATTTATTATTAATCCTCTAGATTTGTAACATTATCTCTGTTATATTGCTTCACTCACGACATAGTGGATTAGGTTCTATCTCTGGCCATTAATTTGTGTGTTGATCTTTTGGCCTCAGTACCACTGAAAGTCTTGCATCTCATTGGGTAGCCTGCCTGCCTCTAATTTCAAGTCTTCCTCCAGGATCTGACGGCCAAGGAACGTGTATTCATGACAATGTCAAAAAGGTTGAGCGTCAACTTGTGAATTATTTCAAAAAATGCCAAAAGTAGATTCTAACAGTGGGAAAGAATCTTGGTCAGTCAGGAGGTGAAAAGAAGTTGTGAACCTCGACTATCACAGCCTGTAGCTCCAGGCTTTAAATGCATATAAAGGTGTATGTGACCGCAGCGAAGCAGATTCCTTGGGGATCCGATTAGGTGAGCTGCAGTTGCGGATCAGAGTGATGTCAACAGATCCCTGTTTGATCCTATTCCAGCTGGGACAGACTCAGCACCTACTCTTTGTCTTATCTTTGATGAAGATCATGGCACTGAAGGTCAGACCTACCTTCAGACAGAGACCTCAAGAAGGTATAATCTGGTGTGTACATACTGAAGGATGTGTTGTACCGATGTTGAAGTAGGCTCAGTATGATTTCATTTTTTAAAACTTTTCAGTTGTGGAATGTAGGCATTGCTAGTTGGGTCACCATTTGTTTCCCATCCCGAGTTACCCTTGAAATGGTGTTGCACACTTCCTTCTTAAACAACTGCAGCTCATTTGGTGTAGACAGATCAAAGAGTGAGTTCCAGGATTTTAACCCAGGGATACTGAAGGAATGGCAATATATTTCCAAGTCAGGATGGACAAAGACAGAAATCTCAAGAAACCAGGTTATAGTCCAACAGGTTTACTTGAATTCAGAACCTTTCAGAACACTGCTCCTTCATAAGTTAAAGTGGAGGGAAGCTTACAGGCACAGAATTTATAGGTGGAGAGGTCATTGCAAGATAATTCCAGGTAATTAAGAGTGTCAAAAGATGGAGTGTCAACAGGCTGAATAACAAGTCTTTGCTAGTGACCAAAATGTCAGACAGTGTGAGGAAAGTGTCAACAGCTGAACAGCAAGAGAAGGGATGACCTATGATCTGATTAGTTGAGGCAGAGAGATAATTACAAATAAACAAAAATAAGATGATGCTAGAAACAAACAAAATTGCTGGAATAACATGATAGGTATAAGAGCCACAAATGTCTTTTGACAGGCTTAATTATCTGGAATTATCTTGCAAAGATCTCTCTGCCCATAAATTCTGTGCCTGTGCGCTTCTCTCTACTTCACCTGATGAAGGAGCAGTGCTCCAAAAGCCTCTGATTTCAAATAAACCTGTTGGACTATAACCTGGTGTTGTGTGACTTCTGACTTTGTCCCCCAGTCTAACACTAGTACTTCCACATCAAGTCAGCTGATGAGTGGTTTGGAGGGGAACTTGAAGGTGCTGGCATTCCCATTGTATCTACTGCGCTTGTATTTCTAGATGCTAGTGGTTGTGGATTCGGAATGGTACTGCCTAAGGATCTTTGGAGAATTTCTGCAGTGTATCTTGTAGATAGTATACACTGCTGTTGCTGAGTGCCATTGGTGGAGGGAGTCGGTGTTTGTGGATGTGGTGCCAATCAAGTGGGCTGCTTTGTTCTGAATGGTATCAAGTTTCTTGAGTGTTGTTGGAGCTGTACCCATCTAGGCAAGTGGAGAATATTCCATCACACCCTTACACCCTGTGCCTTGTAGTTGGGTAGTCAGGAGGTGAGTTACTTGCTGCAGTATTCCTAGCCTCAGACTTCATCTTGTAGCTGCTGTATTTATATGGTTACTTCAGTCCAGTTTCTGGTCAATGATAACTCCCAGGATGTTGATTGTGGAGGATATAGTAAATGTTAAATGACGATGGTTAGATTCTCTCTTGTTGGGAATGGTCATTGCCTGACATTGCCTCAGATGTTACTTGCCACGTTTCAGTCGAAACCTGGAAACATTAACTCTGCTTTCTCTCCACAGTAACAAGTAAACTTTATAGATGCTGCGGTCATACAGTTCTGCATGGAAAATAAATACGATTATTAGTGCAGTCAGGACAATAACTATAGCTAAAAATTACAAATGAAATCTAGATAAAGATAGGTTACTAAATAAGCAGTCATTACTTACATCCTGATGGATCACATCTATTATACAAATAAGATGTCAGTCAGTTAGTTTCTATAAAAACAAACAACTCATATCCCAGCTGCCCCAACTCAGCATACATGTGCCATGCTTGAGGTTTACAGCTGTTTCCACTTGCTTATTTATTTTTCATTGAACTACTTATCTCTTGTGTACATTTCTTCTCTGAACCTGTCTATCCTTGATGATGTAAATGCCTTGCTCCCTGCACTTGCCTTTGTAAACCACTTGGACCTACCTCTCCATTTTACACAATATTCTATAAAACTTTGACCAAACATTAATTTACCATTTATGACATGTCTGTCATTTGGTTGCTATTTTCCATGTGCCTGTTTGTAAAATGGCTTAGAGCATTCTTTATGGAAAAAGAAATAATAATTGCTGTGTAAATGTAATGTTATTAATTATCATATTTCTGTTTTAGAACCTACAATACAGGTAATCTTATGGATGATCTGAAGATTCTGTATCGTACAGCTGGACAAAAAGGAATGGGTGTGGCATTTATATTTACAGATAATGAAATCAAAGATGAGTCCTTCTTGGAATACATGAACAATGTTCTAGCCTCAGGCGAGGTGTCAAACCTCTTTGCTCGAGATGAAATTGATGAAATTACCCAAGACTTAATTCCAGTAATGAAAAAGGAGTATCCAAGACGGCCTCCAACTGTTGAAAATCTCTATGATTACTTCCTTTCACGAGTGCGTAGCAATTTGCACGTGATTCTTTGTTTTTCTCCAGTTGGAGAGAAGTTTCGTACTCGTGCATTGAAATTTCCTGGTCTAATCTCTGGTTGCACCATGGACTGGTTTCAGCGTTGGCCCAAAGATGCCCTCATTGCAGTTGCGCAACATTTCTTAGCATTTTACACAATAGAATGCACAGCACAAGTAAAGCAGAGTGTTGTGAATACTATGGGAACATTTCAAGATACTGTAGCAGAGAAATCTGTTGAATACTTTGAACGATTTAGACGTCAGACCTATGTGACTCCCAAGTCTTACTTATCTTTCATTGGAGGCTACAAAACTATCTATGCAGAGAAGTTTGCTTATGTGGAAATGCTATCAAACCGAATGAAAACAGGTACAGACTTATCAATTTAGTTAGTATACCAATGTTCATGCACTACAATTATCAACACACAGTCAATCCTGCCATTTATCTCTGTCACTGCAGTTTAGTTTCTTACTTGTGTTTTTTTCTAATTGATTCTGAAAACTGATAAGGGGAGCATGAATTGATTCAGTCTAATTAAACCCTGAGACATATAAAGGAAGCTTGTTATTAACTTGTTAATTTGACTTATGTGTACAAGATACTACTTTACATTATCTGATATGATTCTATGGACCAGATTTACTGCTTATGTAAATGTACAGGTGCCTACTGAACACTTTGTCCAGTTGGATTATGCTCTTAAGAGGGATTCACTAAAACATTCTAGCAGTCAGTCATGGTTAACAAGAGAAATAAAAGTTAGAGCAAACACAAAAGGAATAACTATTTGTCCAATCTTTTGGCTCCAACATGGTTCGTGTGTTGCTATATTTGCAGTCTTATAGTTTATATTCACCATGCAGATTATGAGAGGGATGCTGCTTTAATTGAATATTGAAAAAATATTAAATGAAAGAAAATCAAATTTGGCATGAATTCTAGTGAATATAGGATTTGAACCTGTTCGTAACACAAGTCAGTATTGTTGTAATTCCGGTGACTGAACTGTTCACTGATGGTTGCCAAAGAGTAACCTTTGTCCTGTAAAGCAAGTCACCACCTTCATGAATTCAACAGGAGACATGAATCAGATTGCAATCTCCCAGTCTCAGGTCTGTAATCTCAATCCCATATGAACTATAGTGCACTAGTACGCAACATTAAGGGAAATGGAAGACAATGTAAATAGTGTGAAGTTGTTGAACTCAATGTTGATTCCTGATGACTGTAAAGTGCCTATGTGGAAAATGAGATGCTGTCCCTCCAGCTTGTGTTGGGCTTTGCTGGAGCATTGTGGTTGGACTAGGACAGAAATGTTAGCATGACAGCAAGTCATATGTATATGAGTTTGCTGTCAGCAGAGCTGACCCAACTTCACCTAACGTGTCAGGGACAGGGGAACTCCCCGTGATTCCAAGTGCTGTCTCAGTAATTTAACTCTAGGTCCTAGCTTTGCACTCAGACTGGGGAGGAAGACATCCCTTAGAGTGTAAATGGGTGATCTGATGGTTGGCAGCCCTGTAATCCCAGAAGGCTATTGCAGGAGCTACACTAGCTCCCACCATGCTGAAGCACCCAGATAATTACAGGTTCAGGGTCTTGATGAGGTGGCTCAGGGAATGGAAAGCACAGTTCAAGTGGTCAGATGGAGGCTTAAAGTAAGAAGGCAGACAGTCTAGTGACGGGATGCCTCACTGGCCTCAGGAGGTCTGCAAAGGTTGCACCCTTGCCCTACACCAGCCTGTATAGCCTAAGCTGATGGGCTGCTGTCTGATGTGGGTATCTCCCCACACATCCCCTGCCATGTGTGAAATACTAGTGATGGCACCATGTGGTCCTTAACTGGCCATTAATTTGCTCTCAAAGGCCCTCAACAACCCCAAGGGTGGGAAGACCACATGATGTCTTCTTCCCCCACCCCTGTAAAGTTACAGACAGGATTGACATGGTTGGAGACTGCACGCTGGACTATACGGGTCATTCCCTCTTTAAATTCACCATTGGAGAAACTAAATATGTACATGTAGTCCAAACATAGGACCCATGTCACAGCTATGTTACAAGCAGATTCCTTTATCATTCTGTTTTACCTTCAGTTAATACACAATATACTCAAAAAAGAAGTAACTATGATGGTATTGTTCTAAGGAATCTATTATGTAGCTTCCTAAAGCCTTAAGATGTACCATGGCAATATCTATCTTAAAAATTTTGACCTTTAATGCTCTGAGTCAGTTTGTCATTTTAGTTCAAGAAAACTGGCACTCTTTCCTCTTAAACTGTTGTCCCTTTTTTTTAAAATGCAGGATTGGCAAAGCTAATGGAAGCTGAGGTGTCAGTGAATGAGTTGTCCAAAGAACTTGTGATTAAGGAACAAGACTTGGCAGTCGCTTCGAAAAAAGCAGATGAAGTTCTTGAGGAAGTGACTTTAAAGGCCCAGGCTGCTGAAACAGTTAAAACACAGGTTCAAAAAGTGAAAGACAAGGCTCAGCTAATTGTAGATGAAATTGCAGCTGACAAAGCAATAGCTGAAACAAAATTGGAGGCAGCTAAGCCTGCTTTGGAAGAGGCAGAAGCAGCTTTGCAGGTTTGTATGCTAGCAATGTATCGAATTAGCCAGTTATTGGGCTTGTGTTAACATGAATTTATTTTCCAATCCTTCCTTCTCAATTATTCTATTTCAATAGTCTCAATAAAATGATGTTGTTGATCTTGACACTTTTTCTTTGAGGTGAAAGAAAGGCAGTAATAGTTTCCTGGCACCAGATATTCATCAGGCTTCTATTAAAGAACTTCTCTGAGTACACCATTTATTGCTGTATTTTGAGAGCCTGTTGCAGTGTGTTTATGTGCTTGGGGTGGGAGGAAAAATTCAATGCCAGTAAAACTTAATGAATGGCACAAAGTATTTAAATTGTTTGCTGTGCAGAATTCCTAGATCTTATCAGAATTTCATTAAAACTGTAATCTTCTCTTTGTATTTTGGACAATTTATTCATTAAAAATTTATGTACAATTGACAGACCATAATATATAGAGGCAGAAATAAGCCGTGCAGCCCACCTTGTCTGCTCCACCATTCATTGACATCATGGCTGATCTGATAACCCTCAATTCCAATTTCCTGCCTTTTTCCCCTAACCCTTGATTCCTTTACTGATTAATAATGATTATCTGAGCCTCGAATATACTTAATGACCCGGCCTTGACAACCCTCTATGGTAAGGAATTCCATAGGTTCACTGTCCGCTGAGAAAACAAATTCCTTTTCATCTCTGTCTTAAGTGGAAGACCCCTTATTCTGAAATGATGCCCTGTGATCCTAGACTCTCCCACAAGGAGAAACAACCTTTCCGCATCTACTCTGTCAAGTCCTCCAGCACACAAAGGCTTGAGGAACACACAAATTATGGTGGAGAAAGGCAGCTAAATAAGTTCAGAATTGTATATTTTTCATGCCTGTCAAATTTCCTACAGTTTTGTTGGTCTTGTTATATTTATAAATATACTTCAGAAGTTCAGATAACGAAATACTTGGGACGCTGAAACCATTGCATTTGGTTCCTGCTCCAAACACAGACTCCTAGCATTTGCTTCCCTCTTCCTGACAGTGGGGAAATTAATCTGAGACTGAGCAGTCTGTACTAAGCTTTGACATCAAGTTTGATCCCAAGATGAACTTGTAACCATCTGTTTGCACCGTCAGTAATGACACCTATTATAGTACAATAGAGTCATACACCACAGAAACAGACCTTTAGTCCAACTCGTCCATGCAGACCAGGTATCCTAAGCTGAACTAGTCCCATTTGCCTGCATTTGGCCCATATTTCTCTAAATCTTCCTATTCATTTACATGTCCCCAAATGCCTTTTAAATGTTGTAATTGTACCTTCCTCCACCACTTCGTCTGGTAGCTCGTTCCATACACGTACCGCCCTCTATGTGAAAAAGTTATCCCTCTGGGCCCATTTAAATCTTTCCCCTCTCACCCTAACCTATGCCCTCTAGCTTTGGACTTCCCTGCCCTGGGGAAAAGACCTTGTCTATTCATCTTATCTATACCCCTCATGACTTTATAAACATCTAGAAGGTCACCCATCAGCCTCCAATGCTCCAGGGAAAACAGTCCCAGCCTGTCCAGCCTCTCCTTATAACTCAAACCCTTCAGTCCTAACAACATCCTTGTAAATCTTTTCTGTACTCCTTCTAGTTTAACAACATCCTTCCTATAGCAGGGCGACCAGAATTATATGCAGTGTTCCAAAAGTGGCCTCATCAATATCTTGTACAGCTGCAACATGACTTCCCAACCGACTTTTTCCTTATCTCAGTTCATCTGCTATTGAAAGACATTTGTTCGAGTTCTTTGAAAGTACTTATTCATATTTTTGTTATCTCAATATTTGACAATTTCCACACAGTATTCAACCCTTTGTAATTCATCCATCATCTAGATTGTTGCTGCCCATTTTCTAACTCACACTGAGTCATGTTCACCGATCATCCCTGTGGCTTGCTGATTTACACTGGCTCCCAATAAAGCAATTTCTATCTTTTAATATTTTCATCCTTATTTTCAAATCCTGCTGTGGCCTCACTCATCCATATCTGTGTAATCTCCTCTGGCACCCTTACAGAAATCTACATTCATCTTTAATTTTAATTTCAATTCAATTTTAATTTTCCCATTGCGATTCCTGCGTCTTCAGTTCCATGTGACCTGAGTTTTAGAATGCCCTCCCTACACTGCTCTGCATCTCTGGTTTCTTCTATTAAGGCATTCCTTAAAACCTATCTCTTTGACTGCTTGGTCACCTGACTTAACATCGCTTTAAATGCTTGGTGTCATATTGCATTTTATAATTCACCTATGAAGTGCCTTGGGACATTTCATTACATTAGAGTGCTACGTTAATATAAGTTGTTGTGGTTCTCAGCTTCAGCCTTATTAGTTGGGTCAAGTGCTTCTTTGGCATTAATTGCTTGGTTCTCAAACCATGCACGATAAGATTTTGTCAAACAGCATTGCATAAAGCATATTGATCTAGCTAGTAAAGTTTTCAGCTGACTTAATGTGAGTCAATGCAGGCTGTAAGAAAATGGATTTGTGAAATGTGAAATCTCTGGCTCTGATTTTAGTTCCCAGGTCAGGTGCACAGAGTCAGGAGAAATTCTAGCTCTGTGAACAGGATCTTTAATAATGGATGGCCACATTTCTGAGTTCCATTCTGTGAGTGTGTGGCGGGAGTGAGAGAGCAGTGGCTGACAAGGGCATGGATTGGGAGTCAGGCCAGACTGGGGAAGAGCCTAAGAGTTTGGCACTTCTTGAGATAGGCTAAGCTGAAAACCTGCCTTAGTGCTTCAGTACTGTGTTCAATTTTTAAAATAAAGATTAAAATAGTAAAGATTCTTCTTATTATAACTTCCTCACTCTCTTCACGCACCATACCCCATCCATTGATAACCTGTGCCCCTGTACCCAAACCCATGGCTGCTGATACCCCTTTGCCAACCTACCCATCTCCTATTGTCCTTCATATCTGATATGCCTCTAGTCATCTCCATGGTTCCTTATAGACATAGTCACTCCAGTGCCAATCATTATTCCCAACTCACAACTTTTGACTTTCTCAGTCCATGCCAACTTACATATTATCTAATTTGGGCATTAATCCGGAGGCATTATCTCAGAAAACTAATTTTACCAAACTATTGGTGAAGTCACTATCGTGAAAAAAATCAAATTCTCATTGATACAAAATATTCAGCATATTGCACTTGCTTCAACAAATTCCTTCTGAAAGCAAACATCTTGCTTCAGGGACTTTTGCTGTTTGTCAGTTTTGAAGAAGAGTCTTTTTAGACTTGAAACATGAATTCTATTTCTCTCCCCAGATGCTGCCTGATCTGCTGAGATTTTCCAGCATTCTCTGTGCTTGTTTCAGATTTCCAGCATATGCAGTGTTTTGCCTTTCTGTGAAAAAAAATACATTTCACTCAACTGTTGTCAACTATGTCAACATTTCCATTCAATAAGCAGATGGAGCTGTCTATCATTAAATACCACATTGTGAAAATTATAGTTTGGGAAATCAGTCATGTGGCACAAATTCTGTAATAGTTTAATATAAATAAACATTCTGAAATCTAGCACTGTTTTCCTTTTTAAAAATACATCTTTTGGAAAGTTTCTTGACAACTTTCCAGCCTCAATGAGTTTATGCACTTTTTATGCACAAACATGGCTTTTCACTATCCCAAAGTTTGCAGTACCTATATCAAAAGGTATTTTACCTTTCCTAAAGGGTGGCTTACCTTCACCAAAAGTGTCCTGGGTCCAGATCCAAATGGATATCTGCCTATCCAAAAGGAGAGAAATATTTTATATCCCTCCCCCTCACATTGCCTCATGTTCATTATTCCCCGGCACACCAATGTCAACACACGCAACCAAATGACCTCGATGGATTCCCCATGGGCCCCCATTCCCCTATGCCAACTAATTGACTACTTCCACCTACTACCGCCTTCCTTGTCACCTACAATACCAAGCCATTGAATGTCTACAAGTACCCATGCACATAGGATATATGTTCTACTTTTAGAATTTTTATGTTATAGACCACACTCCGTTGAGAAAAACAATCTCAATCCTTAGAAACACATTTTGACGTTTTTTGATAGGTTGGTACTTGTTGATAGGTCAGCACTTTTTTTGTGCATTAATGGGATGTGGGTGAGTGGCTTGGCCAGAACTTCTTAACTTCTTAACTGTCCTTAAATGTCCCTTGACCTAAGTGGCTTCCTGGGGCCACTTCAGAGGATAGTTGAGAGACAACTGCATCAATGTGGGTCATCAGTCAAATGGAGGCCAAACCAAGTAAAGATAGCAGTTTGCATTCCCCAAAGGGCACTGCTGAACCCAGTGGGTTTTCCGTTATGACAATTGACAAGTGGTTACAATAAGTCTGCAATTTTTAATTAAATATTTTATTGAATACAAATTTCACCATCTGCCATGGTGGGATTTGAATCGTTGTCCCCAGAGCATTAACTTGGGTCTCTAGATTATTAGTTCAGTGTTATTACCATTCCACCACCCCCTCCCTTGTTGACAGGTCATGACAAGATGGACAATTCCAAGAGGTTTAGGCATTGTTTACATACATCCTTCTCCACAACTACCAGTTCCAAAGGGCACCTAATTCCCACCCAAAGGATTCGTGGCATCTACAGATGATAATAAAAAAAATTGAATGTGTAACGAAACAATTTGATAAAAACCAAAAGAATTGCAGATGCTGTAAATCAAGAACAAAAACAAAGTTGCAAAGGAACAATTTGATCTTTTATTAAGTAGAGACAGTGTGGCTTAATGGCAGTATTGTATTCAGAGAAACAATTCATTTGCCCTTTAATAGCTGTTTTTTGCTGAAATCCCTTTGGTACTCCTGAAAATGACACATTTTGTGGAAGCATTTCATCAGGACATTTCACAAGAATACAAATTGAACTAAAAAACCAGCATTTATACTGCAAAGAGAGTACGGATTGGTTGGCAAGTGGACTCTGATTGGTAGAGGTATTTCCATGTAGAATGCATCCCTTAAAACACATATTGTTTGTGAATGCAGGCATAGGCAAAGGCTCCCACATTTCATAAATGCGAAAAAGGAAAACAAAAGGCACAGCAGGCTTGATGGGCTGAATATCTTCTTCTGCTCCTGTTTTTTTTAATTTTCTCATAACAGTAAGAAATGATTTAAGAAGTTATTTAAATTTCAGTTCCCAACCTTGAGCTTTAGTCTTCTTGCTCTGAAACTACTTGGTGATAACAGCAAGCCTTTATTTAATAACTGTCAATTTTCTCACACCTATAATTTTTATGAAGCTGACATTGTGATCATTTGTGTGTCTGCTACAGTGACCACATGGCAACTGCTGCACTACATGCTAGAAAATGGAGAGCTGTGCTCACTGATAATGTCAAGTGCAGCTCAGGTATATAATTTAAATATGTTTTTACACTACTGGTGCTGGACACAGAGCATATGACTGTCTGTAGTGTTTTGGAACAGGAGCTGGCAACTCCAGTTTAAAGAGAAAGAGGCCACTTTGAAATGTGATGCATCAGTAATTAACTTTTAGCCTTTTTAGGGTGGAATATCAAAGTAAAGTCAACATGGAAGAATGAAATGGAGTCTGTGAACAAATAGCTGAAGGATGCTGCAGTAGGTGCCTCTTACCCTTTTTTGTGAAGATAAAAATCAATTCAATTCATCACATGAGTGGAGGCATGGAAAATCCAGTAATGTAAATACTGACTGTTACTTCCACAGCAAGAGCTGCCTCTTTGATTACAGTTGTCTGTAAATCTGTCACCAAGAGATGACATATCTACATGTCAACTTCCTTACCTTTTTTTCAAATCCCTCGATAGCAGCACCCTGTATTGCTGTAACTTCCCTTTCCCTCTTCAGCACTCCAACTCTCTTCTTTTGTGTACCACCAACTTCCTTTGGTCCACAATTGACAGCTGTGTCTTTAGCTGTCTGGCTCCGAAGCACTGCAACCCTGTCACAAATAGCTATACCTATTTCTCCTTCTTTAAGATGCTGCTTAAAGGCTGCCTCTTGGATCAAACATTTGAATGCTTGTCTTAGTTTTCACCTTCTTTGGCTTGGTGTCAGCTTTTTTCTGACATGCTCTTGTGAAGTGCTGGAGGTGTTTTACTCTGCTGAATGTGTTCTGTAAATACCATTGTTTATAGTGTTTATAAAGCAGGGATGCCAATGAAACTCTTCTGAGATTGCCAGATAGAGATTCCTGTCACCTTAAGTCCCCATGCAGAGGTTTATGTGTGGCTAATTGCCTCCAGCAAACAAAGAGGAGCCTTCCTTACCTATCTGCCACTGAATCATAACAGAAATTGTCTGCATAGACAGGGCTGATATTGCTGATTCTCGCTGAATATGAGTTGTATCTCATTCCAACAAAGATAGCAGTGTGAGCGACATAGGTACATACACTTAGAGTGGATGGGAGCTGATATTCCATATCCATCATGAGTTTGGGATTATCAACTAAATTCCAGATCTGGGTCAAGTTTCCCTGAATATAATGTCACTTATAATACCTTATTCCTTTTTGCACCTCCACCCCACCCCGTTGAAAAGCATCCTGCACCATGGTGCCATGGCGAATTTGATCACCTACACAGCAATGCTTCTTCTCATTCATACAGGAGCCAGCACCTCCTGCCTGTTGGGCAAAAACAGGAGATGAGGCTTCTCCATCGCTAAATGTTGGTTCCCTATAATTGTCTGGCTCGCAGTCACAGCTACCTGACCTTGGCCATTGACTGACTCTAAAGTTCTATTTATCCTCAGGGATATGAAAGTCATCTTGGTGACTCTTGTCCTCCCTGATGACCTGCAAAGACTGCAGCTTAAATGTTAGCTTGATAAATCTGAGTTGAAGTTGCACAAGCTGCAGACACTTACTGCTGATGGGATTGCCTGGGATTGCAGCACATCACTATCCCTTACCCTGTTCCTAGAGTGCTGTTCTTGAGCCAGAATGATATGAACGGCCTTAACGTGGTGGGAGAATTTTGGCAATTCAAGATATATACCATGGAAGGCCTCATATAAGACTACAGCCTGGAGCAGATCATGGCAGATAGAAATCTTGCCACATCTATGAACAAGTGACACAAATAAAGCTAAATAGGTAAATCGAATTGCCATATCAGAAATATGGTTAACAGTTCCTGGTACATTTCCATGCCAGCCATTATCCAACCAATCAACACCCTCTTTTCATGCTGTACAAATTGTTGCTACCTATTATTGAAATTTTGTTGTGTTTCAGTCCCGATGAGTGCAAGATAAGAACCTTCAATTTCTTGTCTTTCCTTTAGCGATGATTAAATATGCCATGGTTGATGAAAGAAAATATGCCCTAAATCAGCTTCTGTCTTACTACAACCTGTTACTGTCATGTTCCAATTGTAAATTAGTGTGTGTTCACTTAGAATTCCTGAATATAAGTTGGCAGATGGACCAAACAAATATTGTATATCTGGGATATACTAAAGCAACAATAATTTTCCTTAAATTTATTGTTCAAAATTACTTTGAGAAACTATGTGGATAAATTTTCGTTTTTACCATGGATTGACTGCGTTTTTCAGCTTGTGCACTTGATTAACACGCAGGTTTGAAGACAGTAGTCACTCTGTGACATTTTTATGTTAATGTGCATTTTCCAATGTTGCAATATGAATATAAAATGAAGAACTGTGGGAATCTGAAACAAAAACAGAAATTTTTGGAGAAATTCAGCACGTCTGGCAGCACCTTTGGAGAGAAAACAGAGTTAACATTTCAAGTCCAGTGGTCCTTCTTCAGAATTATTTCTCAAGCAATTTCTGTTTTTGTAACATTAGTATACTGGATGTATACTTGTGTACTTAACTAGTATATTAAACAGCAACTTAACGGAATCTTTATTAGTGATTGCTTGCATTCTTGATGAATAAGATAAGAAGCCTTTAACAAAAATAATAGTATATATCGTTTTAAAATATTTCCAGACTATCAAACCTGCCGATATTGCCACAGTGCGCAAGTTGGGCAAACCACCTCACTTGATCATGCGAATCATGGACTGTGTGCTGCTTCTCTTCCAAAGAAAAGTAGATGCCGTGACTCTTGATCCAGATCGACCTTGTGTGAAACCTTCATGGGGTGAAGCTTCAAAGCTGATGAACAACGCGTCATTTCTTAACATGCTGCTAACATTTGCAAAGGTACAAAAGAAACCTTTCCTGTCATTTCTGTCTGTGTGAGCTGGTTTCAGTTGTGAATTAAGAGAGTTCAAATCCATTTAGTTAAAGTTTGGAACTTGATTTATTATACGCTGGTTAACCTTGTTTTGCAATGAAGAACCTTTGAACAGTGCTTCATCCAAAACTGGAAGGTACCTTTTGGCTGATCCAAGGTCTCTATAGATGCCACAGAACTGGATTCACAATTGCCTCCATACCTTTACCAATTAGATGTATGTATGGGGAAACTAGTCAACTGTTTCCCAACACTCAACAACTATTCTGTTGATGGAGATTAAGTTGTCAATTGAACCCTCACACATCTAAAAATAATCCACTGAAGTTACCATGCCTAATAAGAATCTACTATCACTGAAACTGTTTGAATAGCTAGCTAGTTGTGTCTCTGTTGTCTCTCCAAAGGAGCAAATTACCTTGTGCCACTCCCTGGTCCTTTCCCTGTAGTCCTGTGCATTCATTCACTTCAGATAATAATTCAATTCCCCTGAAATGTCTGAATTGAATATGCATCCACCCTCAGACAGTTCATTCCAAATCCTAAATACATGCTGCATGAAAAAGATTTTCCTCATGTCTTTGTTGATTCTTGTGCCAATTTTAAAAAGTCTGCTCCTGCTTGGCTGTGATTCTTCCACTGATGAGAACAGTTTCTCCCTATCTGCTCCATTCAGAGCTTTCATGATTTAGTATAATCTCCTCTCAATCTTTTCTTCACTAAGAGAAATAGTCCCAACCTCTCCAATTCATCTACATAACTGGAGTTCCTCATGCCTGGAGTCATTTTTGTGAACCTTTCCTGAACTCTTTCTAAATAATCTTTGTTAATGTAAGGCAAGTGAAACTGAACACAACACTCCAGTTGAATCCAAACCAGTGTTTGATACAAGTTTAAGAGAACCTCCATGCTTTTGTGCTGCAAGCCTTGATTAACATGCTGTATGATTCATTAATACTGCTCTCAATCTACCATCTTCAATGACCTAGGCACATTTACAACCAGATCCCTCTGCTCTTGTAATCTCTTTTAGAATTGTACCATTTATTTCATTTCTGTTTTGAGTTGTTCCAATCAAAATGAATCATTTCAGACTGCTCTGAATTAGAAAATGTCATCTGCCATTTGTTCAGCCATTCCACCAATGTCCTTCTGAAGTTCTATACTATCCTCCTCAGCCCTTCTAAGTTCTGTATTGTGTGTAAATGTTAAGTTGTATCCTGTACACCAAGATCGAGGTCATTAAAAAATATCAGGAAGAGCAGGTGTATTAACAAATTACTGGGGAACTCCAATGGAAATCTTCCTCTAAACTGAGAAACAACAGTCCACTATTATTATTCTATCTCTCCTCTTACTCAGCCAATTTTGTGTCTCTGTTGCTACTCTGTCTTTTATTCTGCAAACCCATTGAAATTCCCCATCCAGAGTACATTTTGCCCTCTTGCCACCCTCAGTGCTTCCTTCTCATTTTGTTCAAAATGGAAGTGATTCATCAGCGGAGAGAGGATGGTACATAGTGATCGAGGGGAGGCGATGGCCTAGTGGTATTATTGCTGGACTGTTAATCCAGACACCCGCGTAATGTTCTGGGGACCTGGGTTCAAATCCCGCCATGGGAAATGGTGGAATTTGAATTCAATAAATATCTGGAACTAAGAATCTAATGATGATAATGAACCCATTGCTGATTGTCAGAAAAACCCATCTGGTTCACTAATGTCCTTTAGGGAAGGAAACTGCCATCCTCACCTGGTCTGGCCTACATGTGACTTCAGACCCCAATGTGGTTGACTCTTAACTGCCCTGTGGGCAATTAGGGATGGGCAATAAATGCTGCCTAGCCAGCGACACCCTCATCCCGTGAATGAATAAAAAAATAGTCAACAGGAGGTTTCCTTGCCCATGTTTAACCTAAAGGCATGAGACTTCATAGGGTCCGGAGTCAATGTTGAGGATTCCCAGGGAAACTCCCTCCCAACTGTATACCACTGTGCAGCCACCTCTACTGGGTCTGTCCTGCTGTCGGGATGGGACATACCCAGGGATGGTTTTGGTGGTGTTTGGGACATTGTCTGCAAGGTATGATTCTGTGAGTATGATTAAGTAAGGCTGCTACTTAACTGTCTGTGAGATAGATCTCCCAATTCTGGCACTAGCACCCCATCCCCCCTCACCCCGGTATTAGTAAGAAGGACTTTGCAGGGTCGACAGGCTTGTTTCTGCCGTTGTCTTTTCTGGTGTCTAGGTTGATGCCAGCTGGTCCGTCCAGTTTCATTTCTTTGTTGAGACTTCATGGCAATTGATGCAACTGAGTAGCTTGCTAGGCCATTTCAGAGGGCAGTTGAGAGTTGACCACATTGTTGGGGGTCTGGAGACGCATGTAGACCAGACCAGGTGAGGATGGGAGATTTCCTTCCCTGAAAGATATTAGTTAGCCAGATGGGTTTTTCCAACAATCAACAATGGTTTCATGGTCAACAGTAAATTTTTAGTTCCAGATATTTTGCATTGAATTTAAATTCCACCATCTGCCATGATAGAATTTGTACCTGGGTCTCCAGAACATTAGCTGAGTTTCTAGATTAATAGTCTAGTGATAATACCACTAAGCTATTGCCTCCCCGCATTCCAGCCCACCAGTCAGCCAACTTATTTGCAGATGCAATGACAAACCAATATTTCTGTAGATCCCATGGGTTTTCTGCCCAGTGAATTAGATTAAAGTGACTTCTGAGACTTTCTTGGAAAAACTCAGCAGGTCTGGCAGCCTCTGTGGAGAGTAATCAGAGTTAATGTTTTGGGAGTAGTAACCCTTCCTCAGAATTTTTCCGAGAAAGGGTCACTGGACCTGAAATGTTAACTCTGATTTCTCTCCACAGATGCTGCCAGGCCTGCTGAATCTATCCAGCAATTTCTGTTTTTGTTTCTGATTTCCAGCATCCACTGTTCTTTTGGTTTTTATTTTCTTGAGACTTCCTTCTTTGTTTAGTCACACATTGTGTGCAGTTGGAACATTATATTGGAACCTCCTTAGGCATTTTGGATTCTTGTTGCACCTCCTTTAAGTTATTTGAGGCTGTGTTTATATTATATTATATTCAGCTGCGGATACAATTCAGTCTGTAAACATTGTATTCTCTTAGCATTTACACTTCAAAAATCCACATTCGCTTTGGTGTATTCCTGTGGGAAGCGAAATTCCAAAACTGTTGGAAAACCCCATCCTTGCACCCAGATTTCTGGACAGCACCTTCAGGTTCATTACCCATTGCTTTGACTGGGACATAAAATGTGGTTGTTTTTGCTGCATTTGGCAGTCTTCAGGCCAAGATTATTTAATATTGATCAAAGTGGCATTTCATATAAATAGGCAACCATTTGCAGTGGTTGGAGATTCTAGAACTAAGGTGCACAGTCTAAAAATGAGGGCCCAATTGCCCAGGAGAGATGTTAGGAAGCACTTTAACACGTACATGGTGGTAGATGTTTGGAACTCTTCCACAAACAGTAGTGGATGCTGGATGTGTTGTTAAATTTAGTTCTGAGTTGGATAAAGTTTTGTTAAGCAAAGGTATTAAGAGATGTAGGTCAAAGGCAGATATGTGGAGTTAGGCCACAGATCAGCCATGACCTCATTGAATGGTGTTACAGGCTCAAGGGCTGAATGGCCTACTCCTGTTCCTACATTCCTGTGTTCCTAAGAGACCTGGCACCTCTTCAGCAGGTAATCTTTAACCTTTAGGTAGTGATAACGATCCTGGATATTCTCCTGTTGTTTAGTTGCTCACCTAACCCCAAGAACTTTGGTGGAGAATGTGGTTCACTCGTCAAGCCTGGGTGTATCTTGGCATCTAATAGCTATTGGACCTTCAGAACGTTAGATTTTAAACATGCACATAAGGAACTATTCATCCTCCTAACAGGAGAAAACAGAATTCTTGTCAGGCAAAATAAGCAGGGCTCTGTCAGGTTGCTTTCCCTGCTCTGGTTCAAGATTGCTGTGACACAGTTCAAGGATTTCCAAGTTAATTCAGTGGATGTGAAATTGGAATGGCACCTTTATGGTGTGTGGTCTTTATAGCTAATATTAAGTGGAGAAACAAAGATAATTACAAAAATGATATGTTTTCATTCATGTATAACAACTGCATGTCCTTTCAATATTTAATGGCTGTATTGTTTTCATATCAGATTAACAGTGTGAAGAATCAATTGTAATGATGTTTTATATTATTATTATTAAACTCTCTTGTACAACACTGTGGTTATATATGATTGCCAGAAATACTTTTTTTAGTGGAATCGGAATTTCCATAGTTAAATTTCATTCTTTGGAAAGCTTTGCTTAACCAATCTATTCACACTGCTTAAAGGATTTAACAGACTTTGCTTTATCTGCAGGATTCTATCACTGGAGAGGTTATAGATTTGCTGCAACCTTACCTAGATATGGATGACTACAATCTTGAAACTGCTAAGAAGGTGTGTGGCAATGTTGCAGGTCTGTGCTCGTGGACTAAGGCCATGGCAAGCTTTTTTGAAATTAATAAAGAAGTGCTTCCTCTGAAGGTATAGTATAAATACATAATAATAAATTACATAACATATGGTTCTATATTACAACACTCGGACTAATTTTTTGATGGAGAGGCATTCCATCTTAGTCAAAATGATGCCCAAATCAGGCACCCACCACTTGGCTGGAGTCATTTGGGTTGTAGTTTGCATTTCTGTAGTTGCTGGAAAAAGAAGTGCCCACGTAAAAATGCATTTACCTAAACAGGTTCAATTTTCATCAGTGGGATGTTGAAAAAAATTATTTGTAAGCTTTATACTTTTCAAGAAAATGTTTAAACTTATTAGAGTTATCATAGGATCATAGAATCCTCACAGTGTGGAAGCAAGCCTTTCAGCCCATTGAGTCCACACTGACCCTCCGAAAAGCAGTTCACCCAGAACCAACCCCCTATCCTATTATCCTGCATGCCCCATGGCTAATCCACCTAGCCTACACATTCCTGGATGCTCTGGGCAATTTAGTGTGGCCAATCTACCTAACCTGCACATCTTCTGATTGTTCTTTGGAGTGGTAAGGTATCTCCGGATAGGACCAGGTACACTTTAGGAGAGGTCACGTAGCCTTTGTGATGACTAAAAGTAGACATGAGCATACATTAAACATGAAGGAATATAACTACTTATTTTGTTTTACATCTGGGGCAAAGTGCCAGGGCATCAAGACTGGCCTTTCAGACTCCTCACCTCTCACCCTACCGCCGTTGTTCCTGCCTCTTCATTCTTTGAAGGGGCTGCTGGCCCAATTCCTATGAATACTTGTACCTGTGGAACTAAAATTAAGCTGTCAGGGCACATTTTCCTGAGTTGGATTTGTAGAGCAGAGAATTCTCCTGTTTGTGGTCCTGACTTGAAAGCAAAATGTCAGATCTAAGAGGAATTCTCTTAAAAGCTTTTGGATTATTGATTTTATGTTGCCATTCATATGAGAGATTTTCTTTCTGTTTCTATAGCTTTCCATTATAAGTTGCAACCTGCTTGCAACTTTTCAGCATAAAAATTACAGTGAATTTGTCCTTGGCTGATGCCAGACGATTTTGGTCTAGGGGAACATATACCAAGTGCTCTCTATGAAAAGAGGAAATTCACTCTATACATGAGCATGTCTGTTTACAGTAGCTGAGAGCAATATTTATTTATTTTTAGTTTCATATGTTCCAAACATAACTGTTGAGCTTAATATTTGTGCTTAAATGCGAATTGGGAGATTTTCATCAAAACTGAAGTTTAAAGACATGATTATTTCATAGTAATGAGCTTTTTTCTATGCAAGACTGATGATTTAATTTACATTTTATGTGTACTAAACTAGCAGTTAATGAATTTTTACGTGACAGGGGAAATTCAAGTACCCTAGCTAGGACTCATTTTACAATGTTCCACACTTTTATTTACTTTGACGTGTCTTTTTGCGAAAAGGCAAACCTTACTCTGCAAGAGGCCCGATTAGCTGTTGCAAAAAACGAACTACACAATGCCCAAGTGCAGCTGGATGATAAGCAACGGGAGCTGGATGAAGTGCAAGCAATGTATGATGCTGCTATGTCAGAAAAGCAAGCACTACTTGATGACGCAGAGGCCTGTAGGAAGAAAATGAACAATGCCACAGCCCTCATTGAAGGCCTAGGTGGTGAAAAGGTAAAACTAAATTTGTCATAAACTAATTACTAATATTCAACGAACACCTTTTACTGAATCTGCATATGACTAATTTTTAAACTGTTCTGCATTCATTGAGACTAGGACTCATGATGCAAGTTCAAACTCTCACATTACTAGTTATTTCATCAGAATGAGCATTCAACAAGCACCCTGAGGCTCTGAGTGCACTCCCTGCAGATCTGCCACATGTATGTTGTGGAACACCTACTGACTTGACAGATTTTCATCTGTGACACAAATGGCATGTAACATTGCATAATCTTAAAGCGAATCCTGATATACATATATAAAACCGACAATAGGACTGCAGTAGTCATACTCAGTCAAAACAATTGCATCAACAAGAGGCAAGCTGTGCCTAATGGTAGTTCCAAGATTCTAAGTAAAGGACTTGCCATTACACATGACCACACAGCCGCACTCAAGGTCAAGATGCAGAGGGGCTTGTTGGATTTGTGTAAGGTTAGTAATCTACCTCTGATATATACATGGTAGGTTTTATCTTCACAGCATGTGTATACGTAAATGGACAATTCCAAGATACACAAAAACCACACCCCTTTATGCCTTATTTTATCTATGTCCTGTGTAACATGAATTGGTCAAATGATTAAATGAGCTGTTGTAACCAGACTTTAAGCGAGTTTTGCACAAACATTGTGAAGGATTCCCTCACTTTTCAAAGACCATACAAGACTTACATATTGAGAGCAATTGTATGTCCATGTATATTTTTGCTATTGCTAGATCACTTACCACAGTAGCACTCAAAGGAACCATTGATGTTACTATGTCACAGCAATGTGCATGTGTGCCACCAGTTCTGAATCTGTGTGCATTGAACTCATGAACTTAACAATCTGTACAGTTGAGTTCAATTTCAAGTACATACACCCAAACAGATGATGTTGCCATAGGACCCGCTTTTGGCTCAGCTCTTGTTAGAAACACCAAGAGAAGTATGTATTTGATGGAATGCTCACTAACCTTCTAACCCTTTGTGATATTTGAATCTGTTGCTGCATCAAAGAATTTCTTTATATAGCTTAATAAATTCCAGAAGTCTGTCAATGGATTCTCAAATACTATCTACAGAAAACTTAAATTCACTGGTCAAAATACACATTAGATTTCTACAGTTTCATGCACAATAAGATCAACCTTATTGGCATACTCATGAAAAGGTCGCTATTTGCTCATCCTGTATGTTTAGTGCAGGGATAGGAAGTACCAAAACAATCCTTTTGACAATGGTTACACTGGTCAAATCATCAATCCACTGTATATTGTGAAAGTTCTTGAAAGGACCCTTACCTTTGACCTAGGACTGTTCCCTGTCTGTCTCAGTTAACTGTGGAAGGGACAAGTATCTCAAAAATATGAACAGGAGAAGCTCGCTGTCTCACACTGCAACTTTGCAGTGAACACATGAGTGGTTCCTCCACCAACAGGATGTTGTCATAAGCCACAATGCGGTTTTGCCTACCGTACAAATGAGTAATGTGAGTTACCAAGTTTCAGTGCCAGTGTATACCAGGTATATAGGCCTTATGATTCTGGTCAGGCCACATTTGGAATATTCCGAGCAATTTTGAGACCCATATCTAAGGAAGGATGTGCTGGTGTTGGACAAGGTCCAGAGGAGATTTACAAGAATGATCTTGGACTGTAGGCTTGTCACATGAGGAGTGGTTGAAGACTCCGGGTCTGTGCTCGTTGGAGTTTAGAAGGATGACGGGGGATCTGATTGAAACTTACAAAATACTGAAAGTCCTTGATAGAGTAGACATGGAAAAGATGGTTCCACTAGTAGGAACGACTATGACTTGAGGTCACAGCCTCAGTGTTAAGGGACAACCCTTTAGAAGTAAGATGAGGAGGAATTTCTTCAGCCAGAGGGTGGTTAATCTGTGGAACTCATTGCCATAACAGGCTGTGGAAGCCAAGTCATTGAGTATATTTAAGACAGAGATCGATAAGTTATTGATTGGTAAGGAAATCAAGGAATTCAGGGGAACAGGGTTGAGAAACATGTCAGCTGTGATCAAATGGCAGAGCAGACTCGATGGGCCAAATGGCCTGTGTCTGCTCCTATATCTTGTAGTCTAATAGTAGGCACATATATCAAACAACACATCTCATTGACCTTTGCAGTGGGCAGCATGCCAGTCATGCTTGAACAGCCCTTACATGCAAGACTCAGAACACTATGCCTGTCACCAGATGTTATTCAGCTATTGAATATGAGACACATCGATATGTTATTAGATAACCTGGTTTAACTTACATCAGAAACCAGTTTAAGTGTATTATTCAGTCTTATAGTTTGATGATTTGCACGAGTTAGGTGCAATACATATTAATACACAGGACCCAGTTTTAGTAGACAAAGGGAATTTGTGCATTTATTGCAACTTTTTCATTGTAACAAAAAGGATCATGGAGATTTCCAAGCTCTTCTGTTCACAGAACAATCAGAGTCTACCTGCGTGCTCTGAGAACTAAGATTGACAGTTCACTATATTTGCTCCATTTCTGTGCTAGCAATGGCCGAAATGATTACACCGTGTTCTCCTGCTGTTTAAAATGATTAGGCTTTTTGTGTCCTAGTCCTCTTGAGTGTAAGACAAAAAGCTTTGACTTCTTTCCTTTAAACGTTTAATTTCTGTACTACGAAGCAATTAATTAATCAATTCAATGCAGAATTAATACAATAACTCTCGATTATAAAAATAATAATTAATAATTCAATTGGTAGTAACTAAAACAGAAGAGGGTGCCACATAATTTGCATATTTAAATAAAAAGTGTTACAAAATCACAAGAGATATAGAGGAGTGGGAGCAGAAAGAGTCATGTGATAGCACAGAATTGAAAATTGTTGAAAGGTGAGACATGTTGACAAAGCTGTTTGACTTGCATTCACCAGGAAAAATTCAAGAATGCCAAGTTTCAAATGATCACAACAATAGGAGGAGGAGATTGGTCATCAAGATGACTTTACTTGGATGAGGCATTGCCATGGAGAAAGCAATGGGGTCTATAGACTTCCCTTGCTTCTGGGTAACTAAAAAAAGCAATAAAGGTTAAACCTATTCCTTTTGTGTGTAGAGATAGTGCCCTGTATATGAATTTGTGCTATGTCTAGCAAGCATAAGTGAACTATGTTACAAGTTCAACTGATTATCTCAAATTGGTATAACTATGAGCACACTCAGGATAACCGACCAAATGCGTCTCGTCATAGAATCACATCTAACAGTAAATGTCAGCGCTCAAAACATATGGACCCAATTTCCCTCATAGCCCCCAAATCACCCGGATAAATTTGCCCACAGGGTGATTAATGAGAGAAAGGTTACCTAGTAAACAGAATAACAGGAAGCAGTGAGGAGCTGCTCCTCCAATCACTGAATTGTCCTCTCCCATTGTTGCTGCTGATAGTTCACCCATACGTCAGCAACTGATGTATGATTGAAGGAGCTACAAGCAGGTTAAGTATGTCCTGGCAATAAGGGAGTTGCTAGGGAGGGTCTGCTGGAGTCCAGGTTTGGGAACCAAGAAAGGGTCAGGCAGCTTTTGCTGAGGCTTGGAATGTGGAGTGTCCTGGAAGGAGAGAGGTCCTGAAGTCCTTGACCATGTTGAGAAGCTTCCTTTTTGCTGAGTGGTGGGGAACCACTTTACTGCCATCCACCATTGGGTCTGGTGTAAGGCTGCAAAGATGGCGGAAGAGAAAGAGAGAGGCTGCAAAGGGGCTGGGAGAAAGAGGGTGGCTGATCTGTTTGGATCCTCTGCCTCCTCCTCCATTTTCCAGTGACATCTATTAACTATACATGCTGTGTTTATTTTCCAAGTCATTCTGTGTTCTAAAGGGAATGCATACTTGTGCGCCTAAATAGTTTGTGCAGAAGCCTTGAAGTGAGTAAAATCTCCTTCAGTACCCGCTTCATCGTTCCCTGTAGACGTTTGCAATCTCAAGTGCTTGCTATTTTACATTGTCATTTACAGAACTGAAACAACACCCGAGAAAAAAAAAATAACCAGCATCTGACAGCAGTGAATTTCTGCTGCGTAGTCTGAGAACATTTGATGGCTGCTGGCTGCCTGTACACAAAGACCATTATAGTGTCCAATGTAATTCAACCAGATCATATTGTAGCTGCTGTCTGGGAGCTCTAAGCACTTGAAAGTCCCAAAAAATGTGCTCAAATGATCCCAATTTCCCACTGGCAATCTTGAATCAAAAAGCCACACGGAGCTAAATCAAACTATTATCACAGTTTTAAAAATGTTCCTTGTTGAGGTCAGTACCTGCAATGTAATCGAAAAGTTTGAATGGTCTTGTAAGTAACTGAGTTTTGCTTCTGTAGTTCAGAACATCATTCAATTTCCTGAACCTCTCCTTGATATTGACATCTCCTGACCTGCAGCATATCAATAAGGTACAGCAGCTGTACTTACCATGGGTTCATACTGCTGCTTCTGGGGGAGAAACTGACCAAAACCAATGGGACCCAGCAAAAAACTTGTTTAAGATCTTCTCCAATACCTCCAACTTCTGTGAAACATTGAAATGTGGGTATATCTGTCATTAATTCTATTAGGGATAAACAGAATTCAAAAGTAGACATGGGCTTGGGAGGTAAAAATCCAAATAAAGTTGTAAAACAGTTTGGTGAAACTATTTGATATATTTCCTTTAAAAATATCTCAGGTTCGGTGGACAGAAAGCAGTAAACTTTTCCAGGATCAGATTACTTGGTTAGTGGGTGATGTATTGCTAGCCACTGGATTCCTCTCCTATTCTGGACCTTTTAACCAAGAATACAGGAACCTTCTCCTTCAAATGTGGAAAGAGGAGATGAGCAGCAACAATATTCCATACAGTGATGTAAGTGAACTTGTAGATATGTATAATTCAATAATGTAATCTGACCCTTTCACAGGAAGTGGGTGTCACCGGCTGGGACAGCATTTATTGCCCATCCTTCAGAAAGTGGTGGTGAGCTGCCACCTTGACTTGCTGGACATTTTGAAGTTGAATTATTAAAACCCTACGGGTTGATTATTAATTTGTGACCTAATGTATAACTATGTTGCAGATTGGCTGCTCATTATAGAAACAAAACTGATTTTTATTTCCCATGATTTAATGGAAGTAAATATATTAGCCCATTCTCATATCATGTGGTTAATCATCAATGCCAATTTTTACACCTTTACATGAAGTTAAAAATCTAATCTCTAATTTCTTAGAAAAGCAGGTATATTTTGAGAAGTAGAATAATAATTGTTCATTGCTTAAATTATTAAAAATATTCCCTGAGCAGGAGAAAGAAATGATTTTTGCCCAATAAATTTACAGAAATAATGTGGAAGTTTAGCAAAACTCTTTGTTTTGCCCTTGATGAGTTAAGATGTTTAATTTCTGAGCCCTGCCCACATAGAGTGTCTGAAAATTGCAAATGCAGGAAATTGTCTCTGAAGGATTATCCTCACAACTTGATTTGTATCTCTCTCTGTAGGATGGTTTATAATTGTAATTATTACCGAAAGGGCAGGTTGCCAACTAAAAAAAACAAGCAAATTTATTAAGACTTTTATCTTTAATCAGTCTATTGATTGGGCTTTTGCAATTTTATCTTTTCCTTTCTGTATTTGACAATGTCTTTTTTTCTGATGGTTTGACTTTGCTGTACAGTTTCTTGTCATATTTTCTTTTATTCTTCCTAACCTTTATTTGAGATTGTATTGGGGTAGAGTTGTTGGTCGGATTTTACACTCCCTGGCTAATGGGTTTGAAGGTGGGATTGGGGTGGTTTGTAAATCCTGCATCCTTGCTGCCTATCCGCCTGCCCATGAACTTTCTGAAGTTGTACAGGGCGTGCTGGATATATAGGAAGCCCGTCCTAGGACGTATTGAGGTACATAAATGACCAATTAATGGCCACACAAGAGTCTCATTCTAACCCTATGGCAGGAGAAGGCCCATGTCATATGGAAAGCCCAGCAACATTAGTAGCATGGGCTTATGGAGGACAAGGGGATGGTAGGGTACGTCTCTCAGGTACACATTAGAGACCCCTGTGAGATTGCCTTCCCACTTTACCCTCTCCCTGACCTTTCGAATATAGCCCACTCAGCCTCTTAAGGGGACTGCAAGTCTGACTCCACTGAAACCTTCCCAGTTAGCTTGGAGTCCATCATTGTCCCTTGTGATCAGCTGTAGTCCCAGCACTGGCCACCACTCCCATCTGACACTGCAGCACCATTGAGCAGCTAGCCATTGGATCTTTGGTTTAGCTGGCTGTTTTCTGAGGCACAACCTCCTGTCTATGAGGAAGGAGAAATATGAGCTGATCAAAGCGAGCATGGATTTATGAAAGGCAAATCATGACTGACCAATCTAGTTGAACTTTTGGCTGAGTTTGGTGACATGACAACTGCAGAAGGTACACTTTTCCCACATGTAATTGTACTGCCAGTAACTTCAATTTCACTGATGTAAACTTCAGTCTCAACTCCAAAAACATATTCAAAGGTCAATGACTTGGTAGGAAGTCTGACACTGAAGCGCTGAATCTAGTACAATTTCCATCCAGCATTGAAAGGTAGTAATTGAATAAAAACTATATATTATTTCAACTGATAAATAAAAATGAAGCTCTTGAATTATCTCTCACAATGGGGTTAATCTAGCTGGCATACATTTTAATTAATTCACATTTGTTCTTGCAACTCCCATACCTGCCACCATGTGCAAAAAAAAATCTGGGTGTTACTTGCAAGAAATTTAATAAATGCTCAGGGAAGGACTGACAAGTGCCCATTAGATACCAGTGTACATTTTGGGTGGCAGCGAGATTCAGGAGTGGAACAGCAGCTGGCAGGAGATGAGAGAGGCAGCATATTTATCTATTATCTCTGTTTCAAATAAGTGAGATTGCCTACGATTAGTACTTAATGAGGCTGGATTGCTTAGGTAATAGAGCAAAATGCTGTGGATGGTTTACGTTATTGTTGAGGAAAATAAAATGCAAGAAAATTCATGTCATAGTTTATTATAGCTGGCAGGGTTATTTGTTTATTAATTCCCATTGCGATGAGCAATTAATTGAGATAAATCACAGTATAACTATGGATGGTATTAATGATACTATTTGTTTACTCTGTTACTCAGTAATTGCTTTTAATAATTAAAGAGCGAAATAAATATTTTGCTGCACTCTAAACATGAGGATAGAAGCAGATAAGTGAAATAATCTGAAAATATTTGTTCAAAGATATTATGACTCTTCAAACAAAATCTGGTAAAATGTCTCTGAGATGATCGAGAGCTAATTCCAGCTGTGCGAGTGGCCTGAAACTCAAAAATATCTCAAGTAACAGACAGTCAGAAACATTTTGGGTCCAGTGATCCCTCATCGGAGCATTTTAATTTATTCAAAAACATAACAGCTTGCGCCAACTAGGATTCTCAGCTGTTGTTTTATTGTCTGAGATTACAAGACTTAATTCATTCCTGCAGCAAGGGAAATGAACAAAGCAAATCACACCAAATATTGTCACACATAGCTGAAAAGCTGGTTTCAGAATAAATTGGCAAATGCCATTCTGATTACCAGTGCTGCACAGGGTTATGGGTATCAGATGGGCAAAGGTGTTCACGTAGCTATGATCATAATGAATGGTAGGGTCGGCTCGATGGGCCGAATGGCCTGCTCCTGTTCCTTTATCTGCCAATGGATCTCTAGTCTTCTCAGACAAGTCATGTTGAAAACCCAACGAAAGGGAGATAGTTCTATTTTGTTTTTAAAATGTGTGTTGGAAGCAAGTAGAAGATGGTCATTCTTAAATACAGGGTGGAGTTTTCCCTTCCTTTGAAGTGGCAGGTGTGGGAAGGGCACATAATCAGGCAGGTTGGCACTAGAAGGAGATCTCTGCCCTTCTCATTACCTCAGCCATCGGGTTCTGAACAAGAAGCTCCATTGAACGCCCACTGGTCACCTTTCCAACCTACCACCTGTTAAGGCCCTTAAGTCTTCAATTAATCACCATTTCAGGGTCTCAACCTGCTACTGATCCAACTAACTGCCTTCACTGGTGCTAAACTGGAAAGAATTAGGGTACAGATGGGGCAGCGACCACATTGGGCTACTGAAAACCACCCCTCTATCCTTGCCGAGTCCTCCAAACTCCCAACACCCTGTGGCCCCCACCCAGTGATGCCCCTTCTTGCTGATCCCAGCCTTCGTGGCTGAACAGCCTAAGGCTTCCATGGCTCTCTGCAGCTTCTGATTGGTTGGCAACTTCAGGCAGAGCAGGACTTCATGGCTGTTAGGTTGAGAATCCCTTCCAGCAGCAGCATTGAACCACCTGATTGGCACATGATCTGACTGACTTTCTCTCAGGTAGTGATGTTATTCACCCTTAAAAATGCACACTTAGAGCAAAGCAAAGAAAATCTACAAGACCATTAGTAATTCTCAGAAGTTGCGGTTGCTGCTTTTCCACTATATTGTACCATTGCCTCTAAGCGTACCTGAAAAAAAAAGGAGCTTGGGAAATAGATACTTTTGTTTATTGCTAATTAGTCAATTACTAATATTAGTTGTAGAACCTTTAATGGTTTTCATTTATTTTAACCTCCAGGACATCAACCTAATCAGTATGTTGGTTGATAATGCTACAATTGGTGAATGGAACCTTCAGGGACTTCCAAGTGATGACTTGTCAATCCAGAATGGTATCATAGTAACCAAAGCAACCAGGTATCCACTTCTGATTGACCCACAAGGACAAGGCAAGATCTGGATTAAGAATAAGGAAAAGAACAATGAGTTGCAGGCAAGTCTGGGGAAATGGTGTTATATGTTATAGGCCAGGATGTTTATCTTGAAATTAATTCTTGTTTTAGGCACAAATTGCGCACAAAATTATACCTGTTTTGAAAAGTGAACTCTCCCCCCACCCCAAACACTGAGTTTCCAATTAAATTGATTGGCATATTGCCAAACAGAATATCTGCTGTGAACCAGTGCGATCAGGTAGTGTTTTAAACTGAATTTTTAAATTAAAAAAAATTGCTTCAAAAACTGTTTCCGTATATTTAAAAGTGATAAATTGATGAAGTTTGATGAAAACAGCTGAAAATGCTTTGCCACACGAAGAGTATTGTGGTGCAGTGGTAGTGTTCTTCTGAGCTAGGAGGCCCAATTTCAAGTCCCACCTAGTCACTAAAGAAATTATTTTCTGATGTTATTGGGGTATATTAGATAGTTTCTTAGTAAATCCCAACAACAAAAACACACTTAAATACTTTTGATTCGTACTGTTTAGTGTTTTTTTCACATAAAAGAGCCAACTTTAACTATTGAAGCCTCTTTGGATGTTGCAAATGAATACAATTAGTAGAAATATTCAATAGTAATTCGTTCACCCTGCGTACTTATGTACACAGGCACTGTTTTCAATGCAACATTTTTAACACTACCAAATTGTGCCAGAAACAGTCAAGCAGAAAAAGCAGGCACATATCCTGAGCTAAAATTTAAATTATAAATATTTGAAACGGCAATGATTTAAATAATTGAGAATATGTCTATGCACATTCAATGCTTTTATTAAGGTTGGCAGATCATTTCAATGTACCTCCACTAGAATATATCCCTCTATAAACATTACAAAATGTAATTCACCTCATATTATTCATTGCTGTTTGTAGAGTCTTGTTTTATGTGAAATGGGTTTCATGTTTGCCTAACATAACAGTGACTGCACTTCAAAGCAATTGTGTGGCAAGCTTTTGAGATATTTCAAAGACGTGGTAAGGAACTATACAAATAAAAGCCTTAATTACGCAAAAATAAATTTTTGAAGATTGATTTATGGGAATATAAAAGTTAGCACAGAAAGCAAGTTAGCTTATAGCATCATATTCCTTTATAAACATTCTTTTATTTTAAAAAATATAAAAGGAATAGCTAACTAATAACTTCATTTGCATTCCTCATTCTATTTCCAGACTCCTTCTTTCTCTTATTTAAACACCCATGCAAAAAAATGTTTGAACAGCAAGACAGCAGATTCCAGATCTCTGAAATAAAAACACAAAATGCTGGAAATATTCAATAGGTCAGGTAGCATCTGTGGAAATGGAAACAGTTGTATACCAGATTGAAGACCCATCATCAGAACTAGGCAAATGTTAGAGATGGTTTAAATAAATACAGAGGCAGAGAAAGGAGAGAGGGCAGGAAGAGCTGTTTCTTTGGACTGAATATTTGAGGCCCTTTTCTGAATCTTCACTTGCTTCATTGTTGTCTCTTTTCCCCTTTGCCATTTTTCTCTCCTATCTTCCATTCTGTCTTAGATCTACCATTTGCTTCTTTTTTTCACCATCCCTACTCCTTTTCTTACCACTGCATTTGCTTAAAATCTATTACATCTCTAACCTTTCCAGTTTTGATGACAGCTCATTGACCTAAGATGTCACTGCCTGACATGCTAAATATTTCCAGCAACTTTTGTTTTTATTTCAGAATGTCTCTATAATGCAAAACACAAAAATCTGCTTCTCACATAAACAAGCACGATGATGTTGAAATTATTTGCCTGTGTGAACTGGATGTGGGGATCACTGGACTAGTGTAGTTGGGTCAAAGTACATCTGAGGCTGAAGTTTCATCTTTTCACAGAGGTGCAATCAGCTCACAGCATGCAGATTGCATGTTTTTTTTGCAGGAAAAGCAATTTCCATCTGTACCTTCCTGATCCCGCACCATTTTAGTGTGGCCTTTTTGTAGATCAGGAAAACTTTGGTTGCAAAATGCACATGCATCTTTTCCGAATTCAGAGTCCAACAGGAAAATTGCATTGTTTTCCACCTATTATTGTAATGTTCTGGTGTGGGCTTTGGAAACCCACCAAAAAAAAAGCACTCCTTGGAGAGTTTGTGACGATGAGCGAAACCCAGCTGAGGAGACAGCAACATTCTGACAGGTAAGTTTTGAATGTTTGGACAGCTTCAAATGTCATTGTTAGATGCTTCATTGTATTTTGATGAGTCTTTTTTTAGTGCAGTTATTCAGCACAGGATTGCGTTCTAAAAATGTAAGTTGATAATTACATTGACAGTGACAGCATTATGTAAGCATTGACATGCATTACAATATTTTTTTCCGTTGCAAGAAGTGGCATATTACATTCAAAATGTCGATAAACGGTTAATATGGTGGCACTAATCTCTATGTAACTTTGACTTTGAAAGCAAAACTCCTGTTGTTGAACGTTTAAAAAATACAAGCATCTGCACACCCCCTCCATTGATTGACAAGCAACTGCTTTGAAATGAAATATAACACGATCTGAGATTACAATTTCAGGGTCTTGCAGCTGCAGTCTAAGCTTTTGACAGCTGTGGGATTTATGAATGCTGGTCTGAGTTCCAAAAGCTATGACTGACTGGACCCCAGCAGATGGTTTGTTAACACAGCTGCCCAGGGGAATGACTGACAGTTAAAAGAGCTTGTAATAAGACAATGAGCTTTTGATATTGTTTCTGCCCTCATGGTTGTCTGTTTGTACAATTTAGTGGCCACTTAAGGGATTAATTTTTTTCTATAGGACCACACTGTTTTTGTTGCATTGTTAATGAATTACTAACCAGTTTTTTGTATTAAGATTTGCATTAGCTTTTCACTGGCCTGCATTTAACATAATTCCTATTGCTATTCAATGGCTTCTAATAAGTGTATGTTGGGTATGTGACGATGAAAGGTACATGGAGGGGAAAGGGGTTGTGGCTGAAGGTATAGGTGAGATTTAGGATATTGGGCTTCAGTCTCCAAGAAGTGAAATTGATACCCTTCCCCCACCCTCTGTACCCCCAAATCCATTTCCCCACCTCTACCTGCACTTCTCCTGTATTCCATTGAGGAATTTGCAAATAGCAGTACAAGCTCCAATGTTGTGGGATAAAAAACAAAACATCTAGTCAAAGCAAGTCATAAGTTGGATGTATGTTTTGGAAGCCATGAAAGGACTTGACTCACATTTCACAGCCCTGAGATGAAAATCCAGCCCCTGCTTTTTATAGGAGACATGATTCAATGTTTGGTTCACATTCACAAATGACTTGCTTCAATGGGCCAAAATAATTTAATTTCTCGAGGGCTCTTCTTGGCCGTTCCCCTCAATAACAAGTATACCTTTTTGGATACTGTTGGTTGGGGGGGTGGGGGGGTACTTACCAGGGGTAAGCCATGGGGTACAGGTCTCTGGCACAGAGTCTGTCCCTGTTGCTCAGAAGGGAAGGGGAGAGAGGAGGAGCAGAGCATTAGTCATTTGGGACTCCATAGTTAGGGGGACAGATAGGAGATTCTGTAGGAACGAGAGAGACTCGCGGTTGGTGTGTTGCCTCCCAGGTGCCAGGGTCCGTGATGTCTTGGATCGTGTTTTCGGGATCCTTAAGGGGGAGGGGGAGCAGCCCCAAGTTGTGGTCCACATAGGCACCAACAACATAGGTAGGAAAAGGGATGGGGATGTAAGGCAGAAATTCAAGGAGCTAGGGTGGAAGCTTAGAGCTAGAACAAACAGAGTTGTTATCTCTGGTTTGTTACCCGTGCCACGTGCTAGCGAGGCAAGGAATAGGGAGAGAGAGCAGTTGAACACGTGGCTACAGGGATGGTGCAGGAGGGAGGGATTCAGATACCTGGATAATTGGGGCTTATTCTGGGGTAGGTGGGACCTCTACAAACGGGATGGTCTATACCTGAACCAGAGGGGTACTAATATCCTGGGGGGGAAATTTGCTAATGCTCTTCGGGAGGGTTTAAACTAATTCAGCAGGGGGATGGAAACCTGAATTGTAGCTCCAGTGTACAGGAGGTTGAGAGTAGTGAGGTCATGAATAAAGTTTCAAGGTCGCAGGAGTGTACCGGCAGGCAGGAAGGTGGTTTGAAGTGTGTCTACTTCAACGCCAGGAGCATCCGGAATAAGGTGGGTGAACTTGCAGCATGGGTTGGTACCTGGGACTTTGATGTTGTGGCCATTTTGGAGACATGGATAGAGCAGGGACAGGAATGGTTATTGCAGGTTCCGGGGTTTAGATGTTTCAGTAAGATCAGGGAAGGTGGTAAAAGAGCGGGAGGTGTGGCATTGTTAGTCAAGGACAGTATTACGGTGGCAGAAAGGACGTTTGATGAGGACTCGTCTACTGAGGTAGTATGGTCTGAGGTTAGAAACAGGAAAGGAGAGGTCACCCTGTTGGGAGTTTTCTATAGGCCTCCGAAAAGTTCCAGAGATGTCGAGGAAAGGATTGCAAAGATGGTTCTGGATAGGAGCGAAAGTAACAGGGTAGATGTTATGGGGGACTTTAACTTTCCAAATATTGACTGGAAACGCTATAGTTCGAGTACTTTAGATGGGTCAGTTTTTGTCCAATGTGTGCAGGAGGGCTTCCTGACACAGTATGTGGATAGGCCAACGAGAGGCGAGGCCACATTGGATTTGGTACTGGGTAATGAACGAGGCCAGGTGTTAGATTTGGAGGTAGGTGAGCACTTTCGTGATAGTGACCACAATTCGGTTACGTTTACTTTAGTGATGGAAAGGGATAGGTATATACCACAGGGCAAGAGTTATAGCTGGGGGAAAGGCAATTATGAGGCGATGAGGCAAGATTTAGGTAGCATAGGATGGTGGAGGAAACTGCAGGGGCTGGGCACAATTGAAATGTGGAGCTTGTTCAAGGAACAGCTACTGCGTGTCCTTGATAAGTATGTACCTGTCAGGCAGGGAGGAAGTGGTCGAGTGAGAGAACCGTGGTTTACTAAAGAAGTTGAATC